GGGTTCGAATCTCACGGGGGGTGGGATCGTGGATGCTTATCGATTAAGCTATATCTGAACTTTCTTTGTGTAAAGATTGACAGGATCATTATTTAGGTTCATTGTTTATATATATATATTGTAAACTATTAGACACTTTGAATTTCTTCTAATGAACGCAAAAAGTACATTTCTTTCTTCTTTTTATTATGATTGATTTCCATCATGGTAACAATATGTCCATTATCTTTTTTCACTAAAGAAAAACAAATGGTTACTACAACAATTAATAGCAATTAATAAACACAAAAAAGAAATATTTGGTTAAAGTCTTTGTGATACTTAAATATATTGAGAAAACATGGTTAAAAGACACAATTTAATTCATTCCCTATCTTCCGTTAGTGTTATAATTTATGGGTTTTTACTCCTATCAATGTATAATGTAATGATACCGCCAATTAAAGGACAGTGAATTATCGACCGGATCAACGATGTATAAAACAAATACGTTCAATCTAGAGTTTTTATCAGTTCTACTTCTTGCCTATAACTACCTGTCATGTCCAGAATATCAATCTCAACCTCTACGATATGAATCATGTATTTCAGACATACTGGGTTTATATACAATGGCTCTCACACGCGAGATTGATAGGTCCTGGGTTCGAATCTTACGAGGCGGGATCGTGGATGCACATTGCTGAGGAGTCCCATAATAAGATGTAAAGGCCGTCCAGTAATTCCAGATTTTCCATGATGGTCTAGCTTCAATTGACTCATGAATTCAATTATTAAATAAGGAATATTTACATAATGGACTCTTTGAAAATATCATAGAATCTAAATGTCGAATTAACGTGAACAAACTGAAGGATAAAATATTACAGTCCCAAAAGTTACACTTTATGTAGACTATTGATGGGCTACAAAAATTCCACAAGATAAATGTGTTATTAAGACTGAAGGTTGATTGAATATATACAATATTGTATAATCTTGCAAAATACCTGATCAAGACCCTTAACCCTATTTAGTGCCTATTGTTTGATTCCGGTATAATGATAAGATTGAAACATAAGTCCCCTTTACTTTATATACATTCTGTCGACGAATCCCGATAATAACGACATAGATATATAACGTCAAACACAAAAGTATTTGAGGAAGGTATATTTTAGATATTCAATAATGTAGGTGAGTAATAAGAGACGAAGAAAAATTTATGTGAACTGGAGCGGGAAGAATAACTAACCCAATCAACGATGAGTGGTTCAACATTTATGAATATGTAAAATCTGGAATCGATAGTTCAAGTGAATTGATAGACATTATTACCCTTATCCATATGGGAAAAGATAAATTAATGCATAGTTTTTCAATGTTTTCACTTTATTTACTAAATCACCGATTATGTATAAGTGTCAAGAATGTAATACTGCGTTAAAGCTGTTTGCTCATCAGATCTCTTTCATATTATTAAAGTATTAGAATTATGTTTACAATTCACTTTACTCAAATTTCGAGAGAATCTTGACAGATATAAAAATGGGATCTTTAACCTCATCAAGTATTGGGAATTTGTTTATGAATTTGTTGTATCCCGATAAGAATAATGAATGGTAATGTTTGGGATCCATTTATGGACCAATATTATGAGTATATTTTTATCGTACAATTGTTATGCAACTAAACTGTTCAAAGTTATGCCCCTCTTATTATGAGCTTTATGTTGATCTACGAAGTACTATTATACGATTTATCATTCATGAATTATTCCCTGTCTGTTAATTGCTACCTCGCACATTCACAGCCACATCTGGCTAATTCTTGTACAAATGTTGTTTTATATTTTATTGGTAAGTTGTGGTCGGTTTGTTTGGTATATAAACTCAGTATGCTTGAAATATAATGATTCATATCACAGAGGCTGAGACTTGCGTTCTGGACTCAACTAGCTGGGCTAGACAGGGAAGCAGGGCCAATCAGGACTCTAGGTCGTTCTTACGTGTTTTACGCGTCTTTGGTCCGATCGACAATTCGCTGCCGTCTAATCTGCAGTCAAGTTATAACAGAATTTATTAGGAACAAGCTCAATTTCAAGATGTAATCTTCCACTCAAAATCTGTCAACTATATGTAGAGGTAAACAAGATGAACTTCTTGAACTTTTCAACAGTATTTCAGATAGTATCAAGTTTACCAACGAGATATAATCTATTAACAACAAGCTAACATTTCATGGCTGCTTACTTGGAAAAAAACATGCAGAATATTTGCATGGAAATTAGTATATTCTATAAATTTACAGGCTAGCATATGCTTAATCAACAGGAGTAACAGTTTTGAAGAATTTAATAGATAGAGTTCAACAATTTGTCACATGAATAAAAAACAAAGAAATCGATTTAATTCAGATCATCCTCATAGAGCAGTGAAATATTTCTTATTAGAAACTCATTCACCAGGTACTCGCGTATGAGTTACACTCAGTGTGAGGGATGATACTACATGATTGTTGAAACTAAATTAGATGAACCGGGTTTCGAACCTAGAAACTAGATCTTGAAAGATGAACACCTAAACAACTAACCCTCCATGAATTAAACATACATATTATTTTGTGTTATCAGTTATATTTTAATCAATTTTTAGTTACACATAGACTGAGTCGAATATAAATTAATCAATCCCTCACATTGTTAATATTACATACATAGATGACTATCATTATTTTGTTGTAGTGGTTTATGATGCTTATGTCGACAGACATAAGTAGTATGTAACACAAACCAGAAGTAGAATGCTTGGGAGCAAAAAATTGGGAAGATCGAACTGAAGAGAACATAAATGTAAACAGAGAGTAATTGTAATAACAATAGGAATGAAGGAACGATGAAGTTTGTTAAAGACAACGGGGCGAAGATGTGGAAATGATCTAATATATGGTTCCCATATTTTACGAAGACATTTTGTACTAACTTCCGTACTTGGATTCTTGGTTCACTATATTACTAAAGAAAATATTAGTTTTAAAATAAAGCGTTGTTGGAATACAGATTGGAGGTTACTGTGTGTGCTAGTGTTTCGAAAAAATCGACGGGAAACCCTGCTCAACCTAGTTTGAGACTCATTAAGAAGGGTTCATCTACAATAGTGAAGAAAATAATGCTCCTCATGAGATGCAAATCTCCGTCAACTAGCGGCGTTACAACTCAATTACTCAAGCTGATTATTATACATGGGATTAACAGAGAAATATGAAAATAGAGTAATAATGGACGCGTTTGTGATATTGATATGAACTATACGATTTCTTAATTCCATAGAAAACATAGGATCAGACTGGAGAGCGAAATGATGAAACCAACTATTATAAATCGTTAAGACTCTTGTGTGCAACATCCTCGATTTACTCAATATCCAGATCACCCTTCTTACAACCAAAGTGTTTATTCCCACCAGTTACAATTCAAGTTCCATTTGGCTACATATATATTAATCAATCGTAATGCGTTGCTTTACGTATAGGAGGTGAAAGATTTTTCCACATTACAGTTCAGAAGACTAGAGATTGTGTCAGCTCAAATTCATCTATAATAAAATTAGGTCGTTCGAAAAGATGAATGTAAATTCAGAATTTAGATATTATTCAGATTATGGCTCAAATTATAACGTTGAACATTATTTATACATGTATATATATATATATATATATATATATATATATATATATATATATATATATATATATATATATATATATATATAACCATAATAATGATATTGTCCCACAACAAGCTAAGTGTTGCCGCTTTTCGAGATGTATATAAAGGAAACTAGGTTAAGGATGATCCTGATAACCTTGGAGTACGACCACAACTTCCAAGAGAAGATTGCTTCTGGCAGACCATACAAGAACTACTTGCTAGTTCTTAACGTGTTAACTCGGCTTTTTTATAAACCATTACAGTAGGCGAAGGAGGACTATTCGGAGATGTAAGATGTCTGGTCGCCTCTATGTACATCTACCAGTTCACCTGCTCTTGTGGAGCAAGGTACATTGGCCGTAGCCAGCGCTCGCTTTCAACTCGGATACGGGAACACATCCCAGCTTGGTTCTATAAAGGTGAAGGGAAGCAGTTAGGAGTTCTATACTTGAAAACCTAATCGACTGTAACCATTCTACAGATCCACAATATGATTTTAAGGTTGTTTATATGATTCGTTTAAATCTACCTAGATTTCTTCGTATCTAACTCTTGAAAATAGCCGAAGCTCTTACAATCCAGGAGCTCAAACCAGAACTATGCGTACAAAAGAAGTACGTCTTATCGTTACCATGGTCTTGATTATTTTGGTTATCCTATTATTATTATTACTGCTTTCCCCTTTACTTATGTCTCATATCCTCATTATTTTATTCGTAAATGCTCATCATATCGCCTTATTTATTTTTTATACCTCTATGACCTTTACCTTTTATAGCAAAAACATTTTATTGATTTTGTTATAATCACTAAATCTATTGTTATTCTATTTATTTATTTAAACATAAAAAAATTTGTTACAAGGAGGCACCAAACAGATATGCGCCCCACAAATCATTCGATTTATATGAGGGCTGGGATACCTCCGAAGCAGATGGCTTTCTTAAAGGGCCATAGCCGGAGCCTTCGACCTAAAGGTCTGATCCACAAGGCAGTGGAGCAACGTCAGGAGATTCAGTCCCACGGTAGCCGGTGACCAACAATAGGTCCATACGCCATTTGTTCCTTCAGTATCCTGGGGTCAATGTGCACCAATAGTTTGGAATAAGGGTTTTCCAACTTTCCTAGCCGGAACCTTCCTATCCGCCAACCTGATTAAAGCGCCGGACAATTCCTTTTCGTCCTCTACATTCCGTAAACAACACCGCTGATACAAAAAAAGACAGTGAGTAGGATTCCTCTGGCGGTGGCTATGTACACATGACCATATGGCGGTACTTCAAATAGTCACAACTGAGAGAAAAAAATGTCATTTGTATTATGTATTTATTTATTAACTAAGAACATAGTTTACCAAAATGTAGACTTAACATGAAAATTAATAAACAATAATCCCTGAGTATAAAATACGATGACAAGTAGGAATTAACCTTGAAATCATAGCAACAATAAACAATAACACAAAAAATATTGTAGAATTTGTCCACAGAAAAAGGCAATGTAATAATACTATTACCAATAGCAATTAGTGGTTAGTTAACTTTGTGGTACAGAAGCATATTGAAATTGTTCCGGCGATGCAATATAATTTGCAATATCTAAAGCCAGTACACAACTTTCACGAACCACTGGCTCTTTATCTTTTATAAATTCTTCTAGTACTTCACGTGCTTGATGTTCAAATTCTTTCGGTACGGAACCTTTCGCATTCTTTGTTAAATATTTTCCTTCTAATTCACCTAGAATAGAACCAAGTGCTTCAGCAGCTTCATGTCTAACCATTGGATGTTCATTTGTTTGACGAACACATGTAGATAATTGTGGAACAGTACTAGCTACTGTTAATTGTCCTAAGACAAAAGCAACTTCATGTCTAAGTAATGCACTATTTGGAGCTGTTAATCCTTCAGCTAATAAATTAGCTGGCTTTTCTGGTGATGTTTTATCAATAACTGCTTGTAAGACACGATCACGTAAAGTAAACATTGCACGATAACGTGTAAATAAATTTTGATTAGGATCCATTAATAAATCATGTAATTGTTCATCAGTATATTGTTGATCACCGGTAAAACTATGCGCTGGATCAATCGTATTTGGAAACAATTTTGCAGCTAAATCACATGATATTTGAGAATCTTTATGTTGGATTGTTTTCTTGTTTTTAATCCATTCAATTCGATTTAAACCAACTTGACATGTTTCAGCCAACTTGTATGAAGTAAAAAAAAGAGATATCAAATTAAGTCCATTATAATCCAAACACACTAGAAATAGCGGCAACAGTGAATGAAACTTGTACAAATTTTCTGTGATTCTTTTTTTAAAAGCATCTTTAAATTATATGGTGTTTTTTAGTGCTAGGATACACAAATCTGAGGCGTATGGCTCTGTTATAGTTGTATAATAGTCTGAGAGGTAGTATTTATTTATTTATTTTAACACAGATATTAGTACAAGGAGGCACCAAATACATATGCGCCACACAAATCTCATTCGATATGTGTGAGGGCTGTGATACTGCCCGGGTACCAAAACCGAGACAGGTGGTTTCCTTAGGGGGCCACTCCCCGAGCCTTCGACCTGAAGGTCTAATCCACAAGGCAATGGAGCAACGTCAGGAGATGCAGTCTCATGGTAGCCTGTGACAAACGATTGGTTCATGTGTCATTTATTCCCTCAAGATCGTGTAGCCCATGTGCACCATTGGTTTGGAATCTAGGTTTTCCAACTCCCCTAGGTGCACTCTCCGTGTCCACCAACCCGGTTAAAATGTCGGACATTCAGTTTTCGTCCTCTCAATTTCATAAACAACACCCTCGCCACGAGAAGGCAGTGAATAAGACTTTTCCTGGCAGAAGCTATATACTCGTGGCCATTTGAGAGCATTTGGAGAGGGAGAACTGACTCTTCCCACTCTCGGCTGCACCACAGCATTTGGAGGCCTACTTATCAGGAAATGACTATAAAGTATCCTGTTATTTTCATCTCGAACTCTGAATCCTACCTGGTTGTTTTTTTTGGATTTTCATAATAAAAATTATTCATTTACATCTAATTTGGTAGAAAAAATTAGCTTTAATTTCATCAAAGTCCTTTTATCAGTCTCATTGAAGATCGTCAATAAAGTATACTTTCATTTCAAGTCGAATTTGTTTTTATATATACGATGTTAATTTCTCTTTGTCAGTGTAGAAAACTAATTATATCAGTACTGTTTAATACTATCTAGATAAAGTAATTACTTTGATAATTAAATTATGACATCATAGCAATTGGAAAAGATTTTCCAAGACAGAATTCAATGGAGAATTCTTGTGGGCAACCTGTGTTCCTTTATGACGGTGGGGGGGGGGGAGTAACGAACTTACGAAAGTTCATTTATTCAATATTTATATTTACATATTATATTTCTATGATTAATTAAAGAGTTAACACAAAGATTTCACAGGTTGAAATCATGAGTCAGTTGAAGCTAGACCACCATTGAAAACCTGGAAGCACTGGAAGGCCATTTCGTCCTAGTATGGGACTCCTCAGCAGTGGAGTTCAACCAGGTCTGTTGTGAGATATCAGCTCACTGAAGACATTGATGTTCGATGGCGCAACTTCGTGGATTGGTTGAAGTTAGACATTAACACCGTTGGATGCCGGCTCAGTGCTCGCGCGCGAAGCCAGTAGGTCCTGGGTTCGAATCCGCAGGGCGTGGGTTCGTGGATGCGCACTGCTGAGGAGTCCCATACTAGGACGAAACGGCCGTCCGGTGCTTCCAGGTTTTCAATGGTGGTCTAGCTTCAACTGATTCATGATCTCAACCTGTGAAATTTACTAAAATCTCCACAAAACCCATTCTGACAAAGATTTCATACAATTCATTGTTAATAATAATAATAATAATAATAATAATAATAATAATAATAATAATAATAATAATGGAATATTCAATTGAAATTAATTATTATTATTTCGATAGTATGGATAAGATGAAGATAATTAGAACTGTGATATATTAGCTCAATCCATTGAGAACAATCTGATCACACATATCACTTATGAAGAACACTCATATATAATAATAAAAGGTCAACTAGATTAGAAATAGTGGGTAAGAAAAGACAAAGACTTAAAGCTTCATCACTCTGGATAATAAGTTAATCTATACTAAGGTTTATTGATGCGCTTTAGTCATATGAAAATTCAAACCTCTTTTTATGTATTTAAAAATGGTTCATTCTCACCTTAAACCAACCTTGGTTATATTAGCTTATTATCTAGAATGATAAAGGATCATATTGTTTATCTCCTTCTTACCCTAACATTTCTAGTCTAATTAACCTTTTCTTTCTTTTAGATATAAATATACTTAATAAGTACATGTATGATCAAATTGTTCTCAATATATTGTTCGTCTTCTTATTACCTATATCTAAATGTATCAAAGGGATTAATTGTAGACAATACAAATTCTTAATTGAACTTATGACATCTTTATACTCTTGTATTCAAATGAATATATGTTTTTTTTTGTTGCTTACAACATAATAGTCTTTCTGTGTATTTCTTCTCTACATCATTGAATGAAATGAATAACAAAGAATTGAATAGATTGGTTAGCATTTAGTGAACTAACCCAATGAACTACAGAAAAACACAAGTGAGGGGGGGGTCGTGATAGTGATAGTTATGTTTTTAACGAAATATATTAATCAAGAAACAAAAAAAAAGATAATTATGGGAATAGTATTCATAATCAGTAATAAGTCAAGTTTTATAATGAGAGATATTTGAAATAACGAAGTGAATCATCAACATGGAATGGTCAATAAACAAAGTTGAGTTCCATTGAAGCAAAAGAGAAACAGGATCCATTCTCTTCGTTTTTAAGGGTTAGACATATTTGTATTGAGGATAAAATCGATAATGAACTTGATAAACTACGTTAGATACTGATTAATAATGGTTATTCTATCTAGATTTATTGAAAAAAATCTCAAGCTAGAAACAACAACGTGAAAGAATGTCCACAACAAAGAAGACTCTATAAACATTCAATTAAAAGGAGATATTGCACCAGAAATTCTGAAAAGTAGACTTTCGAGATCTCTGAAGAAAACGTTCTATTCGGCTGAACTTTGTATTGTTTTTTTCAAGTCGGCCTATGATTTGAAGTTGTGTGAAGGATAAGCTACCACACTTTGGACCTAATCAATGTGCACCTATCATTTTACTTGCACGTTATATTAGCCGCATAAAGTGATTCCTTTTTTAGGCAAATCCTCGAACATTACCCTATCTAGCTCTTCAAATGATTGTTAGAAGTCAATCAGAATCTCAATTTTGCACTATCTAGTCAATTCCGGCCACTCTGTTTCATCAGAAGTCTCCTTCAAAATGATACATACAATCAGAAAAGTTCAATAGGAATAAACAAATGAAAAAATTTATGTACAACAGACGCTATTGCTGTGTACAAGTTTAAACCTAACCTTTGTATACAAAAACAGTATGTTCAATCCTTTATTCTTCCACGATCTTAACCTCACTTCCTATCTTCCATAATATATCGTTTTTATTTCTATTATTTCTACTCCTTTCCAATTATTACAAATGTTAATTATTCTGTCATGAATAAATATCGAGTGGACAATTATTTCCATTATACCACATTCTCTGATTGTTATGTAACTTCCGTTTAATTTATGATTTTCGAGTCTAGACAACATACCACTTCAAGATTTTTTATAAAATTAATTAGTAGTACCTTTCTATCTAATTACAGAATACTATTTTAACAGATAAAATTAACAGCTTAAGTAGATGAAATCATTCTTCTTCAATGACACAATGTGTCTCTTTCGTTACGATGTGTAGACCTATACTTGACAAATGAGTTACAATGAACATGATTTTTGCAGTCTTTAGGAATGTAAAGGTAGATTGATGACTTAATTATCAAGTGACATTGCAGACTTTGATCAAGATTTAAAAATTACAATCTGATGAATAGAAGTATCCCTTAGAGCAAGTTTCGACACAGTTACACCATGATTTAATCCATAACAGAACCATCATTTTAATGTAATTACTACTCAACTGACTCTGTAATAAAAAATGACAGTGTTGAATTTGAATTCGAAATACAATAAGGGGTTCAACCATTAACATGACGCACACACTACTTATAAATATTCACACATACATACGCCTTCAAATGCCGTAGTACAGTTGAAGGTGGAAACAGTTACATCTCCCTCTCGAATTGCTCTCACACGGCCACTGTCAAGGAATAACCACTTAGTGATTTCTCGCGGAGGGAGTGTTATTACAAAATTGAAAAGACTAAAAGTGAATATCCGGTGCTTTACCAGGTTGGTGGACAGGAAGGATCCATCAAGTGGAGTGAGAAAACCCTGATTCCAAACCAATCGTGCACATGGGCTCCACAATCCTGAGAAACAAAAGGCGTATGAAGCTATTGTTGGACACCAACTACCATGAGACTGTATCTCCTAACGCTACTAGAGTTCTATGTCAAAGACTTGAAGAATGGCCTTCTAAAAAACCACCTGCTTCGGTTTGGACTCTCGGACAGTATTTCAGCCCTCACACAAATCAAATGGCGAAATGTGGCGCACATATATTTGGTGCCTCTTCGTATCAATATTTGTGTTTAAATACAAAAGTAAATACACGCTACAAAACAAAAAGAAATCACTTTCCATAAAAAAATTTGCTTTCAAAAAATGGAGAATTATAAAACGATTTATTTTTTTAAATAAGCAGAGTAAACAAAAGAAGGAAAAAATAGATCTAGACAATGTGACGGTATTTATTACTTAAAATGATTATTTAGTAGGTGTATACATAATAGTTAAACAATACCATACATATACTTGGATTATTTATCAGTAAGTCAGTAACAACGTAGAACTTCGTACGTACGCACATCAGTTCGAGTTGCCACACCACATTAGCACAGAGATGCAGTTGTCTACTCTAATTCTGTAGTGGTAGAGTTAGTAAAAGTATAGGCAGTAATCAAAAAGATTAGGGTTTGAAGATGTTATTTAGAGAGTATAATCCAGTGAAATAAATTTGGAAAGAGAAAAAAGAAAGCGACATGAAGAATTCAGAAGATAAGAATTTAAGAGAACACAAAGAGTGGATGCACTTGCGCCATTGCAAACGATTTTGAGCCATGTCATTCAGGGTCTCTAACCATCGGTTACTATCATCTCGTGGTCCCCAAACAGGTAGTCTACACCTACTAACATGACTCAGTCCACTTGTCAGTGACTTCATGGATTTATGCCATGTTTTGGTCTGGCCGCCCCTAGCTTTCTTCCAATCTACTCCTATACTACTGAACATCGCACGTCGGGATTATTTATCAGTCTTTTATTATTATTATTATTATTATTATTATTATTATTATTATTATTCACTCTGTGTTGTTTTACTTGTATCTTCCCATTGTTATTTAGGACTGTAATTGATCAGTCATTTGTTGGCATATGTGCATCCTGTGAGGATTACCTCAATATTGCCTTAATTCACAAGCTTTATAAGCAAAGATGGATAGTGGCTAGCAGTGTAATTCAGTTTGACGCGTGTTTCGTTCTATTTAGGACTCAGCAGCTGGATGTACGTGCAGCTCAGAGTTGATGTTCACTGTGGGACTCGAACCCAGTACTGTTTAATTCAAACGCCATCGAGTTATCTACTTAGCTACTGAGCCTTGATAACCACCTGTTTGTGCAATGGGGTGAAGTTTAAATTCACTTGGTGTTGTTTTAATTGTATCTTCCCATTGTTATTTAGGACTGTAATTGATCAGTCTCTTGTTGGCAATATGTGCATCCTGTGCGGACTGCCTCGATATAGCCTTAAGCCAAAAGGTTTTTAAGCTTCCACTGCTAACTACTATTCCTCTTTGCTTAGAAGGCTTATGACTTATTATTATTATCCTTATGATGAAATAAGAAAACAGAAAGAAAGATAATTTTAAAAAAAGAAGAAACAAAATAGTGGATAAGGTAAAAGAAAACATAAATGGACAACAATATTTGGTGATGATATCATCTGGTGTGAAGATTATGTCAAATAGTGTTGTATCCATTCATCAGTAAAATTAAAGATAGAGTAATGCTGATAAATTATTAAACCAGTATAAGTCTGTATAGAAATTATATTTTATCATTATTCTGATAACAATAATGAATTATATTGACGAGAATCACATGGTTAAATAAATTGAATTTAGGAAAAAAGAAACGGGTGAACAGAAATAGGATAATGATAATAATATTATTATTATTACTAAACCGCCATTCGGAAAAAAATCTGTGTAACGATTAGTTACCATAATTCTATATGGTGATCTATGTGTTAGAGTTCAAGTTATATACAAGGGGAATGGTGATATCAATAATGTGAATTGTTTGGAAGCAGTTGTTAAGAAATAATGTTTCGAGCTAAATGATACTTATCAAGAAAATATACCTACAATTGTAAGGGCATTGATGCTTTTTGTAGAATTAGAATCTATCTCATCAAGAAATTATACATAGACGTACTGTCAAGGAGCTACTTGGATTATGATAGATCTCTTGTAAAACTGACGCAAATCGCCTTTCCCGACCGTTGTTGCTACCTTGACGTGGTGGTCAGGCTTGCCTATCGTAATGAAGCAACCGAGCTATACTGGCTGGAACAACCGTTCTTCAAGGTCCTACCATGTCAGACAGGTCGGTTGAAGAGCGGTAAGACTAGAAGCAACAAAGCTAAGATCCGAAAGCGAAGTCGTACTGCTGACTGTACAGAGGTGTGACAGCAGTAAGGTGTTTCCTTCAGACAACCAGCATAACAGCGATGCTGCCTTCCCACAAGGAGGGGTGGGGTTAAAGGTCAACCCTAAAAATGCACACTTCGCCTTAACCCACGGATATCCGTCTCCGGTGGTAAGGTCTCAACAAGTACGGCGCTCACACGAAAATTACTCACAAAAAGGTCATGAGTGATCGACATCAAGCAGCTGGCCCTTGGGCACTGCAGTCACGCTCTCAGGTCACTAAGACCACCTCTAATCCAATTTCCTTTACAGGTACCTCCAGAAGAACCCTTCCAGGGTGTGGGCAACCGGGTAGTGATAACCGCCCCCATACCTCTAACAGCACTCTAGCACCACTCAATACAAGAAATGATAGATTTACTGAATGATCATTGGACAGTAACCAATATCATGTTTGCCTAGTCCTTAACAAGGATTGGATGCTAGCAATGATATTTGGAATGTGACCAATTGGTTAAATAAATTAACATTTCATGTACCATGTTTAAATTTTAGGTGGTTGAAGGCTATCAGCATCAAAAACTCCTCTAGTCCTGAAAAGAAGATGAAATATCCTTTCTGCTTTTTACTAGGTAGCATCACGAATAATAATAATAATGGTGGCGTTCTTTCCAAAACTTAAATTTTTCAATAGCCAACTGTTTATTTCCAGTGTTGTTTACTTAAAGATGTTTCAAACTTGAAAATATTGGCAGACAAATTATTAAAATGAATGTAAACATAATAATCCAGACGGAACTTATGTAAATCAAGCATTAAATTTGTTATGACTCGTATCTAGCTATGCCAATAGAAATATCAACGTAAACGGTAAACACAATTCAAAATACTTTTCAACTGAACTGATACTAAGCTTTCAATGACCATTCACTCAACACTCTAACTGATGATCATATGTAGACAAGAAAAATGCGAACATTTAGAGAATTCTCTTCAACGTGTATTTGAGGATCAGACATTAGGAATGTGAGTTTTATGGTGCTTGATTCAACAGTGTAAATTCGAAATGGCGACAGTTAGAAATCTGTTTATCGACTCAAATTTAAGAATGAATGAATTGCCAGGTAGCATTATTTTTTGATAAAGTATCTACAGTACAATGCATAAAACGTTGAGCAAACTAAACCAAAAAAACAAACGAAGTAAAAGTTTTCAGTTTTACCATCGCCTACGATAATTCCTAATTATGAACGACTGAGAAAATTTCCTAATACAATGCTGAGTCTACGTAAACTTGACAGATTTTTTATTTATTTTAATACATTGGTACAATAAGGCACTAAATATATGTGCGCCATATCCCGCCATTTGATTTGTGTGAGGGCTGAAATACTGTCTGGACACTCAAACCAAAGTAGGTGTTCTTCTTGGGGGGCCACTCCCAGAGCCTTCGACCTAACAGTCTAATCTACAAGACAGTGGAGTGGCGTTACGAGATGTAGTCCCATGATAGATGGTGACCAGTAAAAGCTTCATACGCCTTTTGTTTCTCAGGATTGTGGAGCCCATGTGCACGATTGGTTTGAAATCAGGGTTTTTCAAATCCACTAGATGGATCCTCCCTATCCACCAAGTCAGTTAAAGCACGGGACATTCACTTCTCGTCCTCTCAATTTCGTAAAAATACCCCCACCGCGATAGATCAGATAATTGACACGCATATATTGAAACAATAATCTCTTGACTACTGAAGAGACAAGACGGGCAATCAAGAGAAGCTTAGTATTCAAAGAAAACAAATTTGTAGTTGAGCAACTCTGTATACATATCAAAAGACATAATATTGAAACAAATAATAAACTTAGTGAACTAAAAGTGAGCGTAACCAATCAAATGACAGCAAGGCCTACTATGAAAATGTGAATTGAAGGGGAAAAAAGTTATCACAATTATCATGACATGTAAGAAACACAATTTATTGACAAGACACATTAGATAACCGAAAAATTTTCCTGGTAAAAACAATTTAATTTCTTTTGTATAATAATTTACTACAATTTATAACTATGAATAGATAGACAGTCAATATTAAGATAGATCCGGGGACTAAACAATGTTTTTTCTATTGTAAATCATTAGAATAATCGACAATGGAATCCCCTCCCCAAAAAATCATTCTGATAAACCAATGAATTCTAGAATTTTAGTATGGTGGTTAGTGTAGCTTAGATTAGCAATTAGAAACCATATAACATTAACTGAATTCCGGTCATTCGTCGGAATAAATATACATGTGATGTGAACGTGTATGTAAATGGTGCGAATGGTCCACCAGGGTACTTGGTACCTGTGTGGTTACTCCACAGGACTGAGCTGTACTATTCAAATTGTAGCGTTAAAGCCTGTACGGTATCTGGTTCTCCTGTGAAGCAGGATTGAGCTGTACTGCTCGGGTTACGAAGTTTATCCCGGGCGGTATCTGGCTCTCGTGTTAAACGGGATTGAGCTGTACTGTTTGGGTTGTCACGTGAAAGCCTGGATAGTGTCTGGTTCTCCTGAAAACCAATGTAAAATTACCCTGGCCCACAAGGGTATGTTATATAACTGTTATATAACTAACTGAACTCAAGTTAGATATTCTAAAGTAAGCATTTGTTGTGTGTAACATAAATTTAAGTCACTTTATTTTATTCCCTATTTTATCGACAGATTAGCTTAGAAATTGTTTCACACTTTATATAATCTATTTCATTTGAAAATTAACTTAACTTATTATCCAGGTACTTGGATATGAGCGACACTCTAAATATGAGAACTAATGATACTGTTTAGCGAGAAGGGACTTGAACCGGATACTTGGTAGGTGAAAGTCGTATGCCTTAATCGCTAAGCAACCGTTTCATTCCGTAGAACCTTTCTTTAATTTATTAAAAACAATGTAATTTCTCAAATTCAAATGGTTCATGTACTCGATTTTGGATTGTAATTTTTTGTGAAAGCTAATTAGATTATTCGCTACTCAAAACTAAGTAAGTAGTATGCGTGTTCTTGAACCAGTAACCTATGAATTAGAAATTAAAATATTTTAACTACTAAGTCGATTAATTAATCCATAAATTAAAAACAAACAAAGAAATCAACATATGGGATCGGCAAAATCAAACAACTAAACATTACCTCAATTATATTTGAATTAACATATTCTTTTAAAGCTTTTTCAATTACTTCAATATCTGCACCATCACATCCACTTAAAGCAGCTAATGCTTCAGCAGCTTCATGACGAATAAGTGTAACATGTTTATCATTATGTAAAGCTTGTAAAAGATGTGGTACAGCTTTTGGATCACCACGTTGTCCTAGACAATAAGCAGCTTCATGTTGTAAAAGATCATTAGCGATAGGTGATGGCTTAACATAATTACAAACAAAATCAGCTAACAATTCAAGTGCTAATGGTTCAGCAGCATGACGTAATCCCCAAAGAGCACGTGAACGATCAACTAGAGAAGCGGATGGATTTAATAAACATTTTCCCCATTCACGTAATTCTGTTTCGGAAACTGGTTTTGGAGTCATAATAATGGCTTGAAGTTATTTAGTAGGGCAATGAATCAAGAAGAAAATAACAAATAAATATTGGTTAAATGATTTTAAGGGTAAAATTTTACAGTAAATCAATCTCATTAATATAATTTATTAAGAGGAATGTATTTCATTCTCACTACTGTCATAACATTATTCATAAATAAATGGTTTAATGGAGAACTGGCATCAACAATGTTAAACCGAGAATACCTAGACAAACTTTACGTTTCAGTTTCTATGCATGAGATCAAACCTGTTACTGAAAAGTCCCGTAGAGCAAAAGATATGTGTACAGATCAACTAAGTTATATTACCCAAGCTCATGTTTTGATTTAGGTCAGTTTTCAAAACAGATAAAGTGATAATAAGTTAACATTTTCGCCGATTACTTAACTGGTTTCAGTAGTAGTAACCTAATCATTTGAGAAATCGTAATTGAAAAGTATACACAATCATGGCTTTGTTTCAGAAATCAACTTACATATTCATACTTTCAAATATCAATTTAGACACACTGATATTAGGACTTAATGCCTTTCGTTTTAAACATCAATATGGTGGTGTACTTTACCCATGTTAGGAGTGAAACGAATATTACCATGGATAATCATTGAGTTGAATGACTGAAGTCAAAAAAATGCGGGATTCAAGATTTTCAATGAGCTGTATTAATTTAACACGATGAATATAAGACCCGAGGAGTGCGAACTCAATTCAATGTACGGTGCACAAACAGCTGTTAAATCCATTCAGTTTGAACGCTATTTCAACTTATACTAACATTCAACTAAGATCAATTGATTGAATATAAATGACATGTGACATTGTCCTCACTTACAAGCACTCTAACAATATCTTCTTTGTAAGTCATATATCATTAAAGGAAATTTAATGTTATGATGAACAGTACAACAGACATTATAAATAGAAATTTACACTTTTTCAATTTTTAACGTTGAGGTTTGAAAATAACACTCTCTTTTGATTATATCTGCATCCTGAGCAAATCGCCTGACTTTTCTCATTAAGTCACAAGTATTCTAATAAAGTTGGATAGTGGCTAGAATTAGAAACCAGAACGCATGTTTTATGCTCGTCGAGACTCATGTCAGCCGAATATACCTGCATCTAAGTATAAGCGTCAACTTTGCCTAAAGCCCTATTACGGTTACTGTAAGTTTTAAGACCGAGTAAAGGAGAAAGTTTGGGCATCGGGTTAGCAACCTCATCCCGTAAAAATAACAACCTTGCTAACAACAAGAAAAATCAAATGAGACTACATACATTGAGAATGAAACATCATGATTCTTAAAGTTCATTATCAGCCACTATTCAACTTCAATGAAAATATAATAAACAATTAAAAAATATATATATGATACAACTGACGAATATCCACTGAATGTAGAAACGTAGTTTCTTTACAAAAACAATATACATTTTGTACTGTTTTTCGTAATCTTCCCACTACTAGATTCAAGTCCCGAAATGAACATCAAATTTGGGATACATGCACATCCAACTGACGAATCCTAAATAGGACGAAACGTGCTTCCTGAATTCTTCTGCTAGCCATCATCTATCTTTCTTAGTAAAAACAATATAGTTTAAATAAACAATACATACACAAAAATATGAGCACAGATCAACTTTTTGAATCCAAATACACAATATTTTACATTTTGTATAAACGCATTCAATGAGAACTTATAATATATTTATTGAGTAGTATATATATATATTTGGTATATTTGACATGATACAACTATTTATTTATTTCTGTCAATACACAAATACTTTTTTGTAAAATAATGTAACCAAACAAAATAAAGGATATAACACTGTTGAATATAGTTCTTTCAAATCAAGATAGTTTAAAAGAAGGTCGACTAGAAAATGGATTGGTCCTTTATTATTGTTATCATCATTTGTTGAATATGTATGATTGAAGAATCCGATTGTATACACGTTTCTATATGAATTAATGTTTTATCTAAGAAGATTATTATTGTTATTATATGAATAATCTAATATGTCAACTATACAATTTTCTACAACGTAACAATGAATGAACAACTCCCTTAAAACACACACACAAAAAAAAGGAATTATTATTGCACACATAAAAGAAAACCATTTTCTGGAGGGTCGGGGGTGGAAATAAATCACAACGAAATAGAAGAGAAAATAAAACTAGATAAAATAATATTGAACAGAATAATCTCTGTATATTAGATAGAGTTACCAGTGGTTGATAGATGAGTACCTCCCATTACATGGTGGATAATAAATGCCTTTTCTTGGTTCGTTATTTGTTTAAATAAAATGTACCAAAAAAAAAACACACAATAATTGCATAAATGAACAACAACAAAAAATCGATAATGTTTTGCAAATTATTCACTAAGTATATCGTTAAAACAGAAGAGGGAGGGGGGGAAAAAAATAAAAAATAAATTTTCTATGAAAGATAAATATATTAAAGAAATTTTTTTCTACTATTTAAAGAAAATATATTCTGTTTCTATTGCACTAATAGTTTCTATGTTCAATGTTTATACATAAATTTCGTCCATTTTTTTCTATTCAATATTGAATACATCGTTTTGATTAGATCAAATTGATGAATTGAAAAGATGAATATAATAGAAATAATGAATAATTTTACAAATAATGAATTCAATCAATAATAAACAAAAACAAGAAAAGTAAACAATCATTGGTTATTTCACTTTTATTTGTCTACAAGAAAAATAAACGAGAACACACTACCACCACCACTAAGGATTCATTGGCAAAAGTAATCTATACACACACCAAAAAAAAGGGAACAACATCTGAAAAATGACTTAACAACTCATGGTATAATATTGTTACCATGGTTATTTGATCATTAAATGTTTTCATTTTTATACGAATGTGTTAAGTATATACATTCGATAGAAATGCACATACTCTACAGGTATACTTTGTGATTAGTAGTATAATAAACAAAACAAAAAAACTACATGAATAAATCAATAATGACAATTCAAATCAAAACTCATAAAATTCTAGAAACAATCTTGTTTCTCTATCTAAGTAGAAATTAATTTATATTACAAGAAGATCATTACATATACATAATTAAAAGTTCAGAAAGGAGTTTTTTTTCCTTTGTATAGGTTATTAGATATATAGAGGATAGAAACACTCTACCATGCTTCAAAATGAATACTACGAATAATAACACTGACCATTATTATTATTATTACTAACAATAATACTGATACTAATACTAAACGAAGAAGAAGAAGAAGAAGAAGAAGAAGAAGAAGAAGAAGAAGAAGAAGAAGAACTAAATACTTGAGCAAACATGTTTAAAACAATGGAAAATAAAATAATCAAACTATTCATTGAATCTATCACATTGGAATTGATCGATGCTTTGTTATTTTCATTTCTAATTGTTGTAAAATAGTAGTAACCGATTGAGAAATACGAACGTCAAGATTCTCAATTTGTCTGTAAATAAAATAAACGAAAATTGTTACAATTATTTAAATGAAATGTATTGGAGAAAAGTAAAACTAATTTATTTTGTAAAAAGTGAATGTCCGACGATTTAATCGGGTTGATGGATAAATGTCCTGGTACGGTTGAGGATGGGGAGAGTCCGTTCTCCCTCTCCAAACGCTCTCATATGCCAACGCTTATACAGCCCTGACAGGGAAATCCTACTCACAGACTTCTCGCGGAGGGGATGTTTATACAAAATTGAGAGTACGAAAAGCGAACCTCCGACGCTTTAACCGGGTTGGTGAACGGGGAGGGTCAGCTTAGGCAAGTTGGAAAACCCTGATTATAAACCAATCGTGAATATGAGCACCACAATCCTAAGAAACAAAAGGCATATGAAGCTATTGATGGTCACCGTCTACCAAGGGACTGCATCTCCTAACTTTGCTTCATTGTCTTGTGGACTAGACGTCTATGTCAAAGGCTCAGGGAGTGGCCATCTAAGAAAAGCACCTACTTTGGTTTCAGTGTCCAGACAGTATCTCAGTCCTCACACATATCAAATGGCGAAGTGTGGCGCATTGGTATTTGGTGACTCCTTGTACCAATGTTTGTGTTTAAATAAATCAATAAATAATATAAATAAAACTAATTTATAGGTTTCTTTCCAAAAACAAGCAAACAAGTTAACCTAAATAATATACTTTTCAATACAGGGTTGATGAGAGACAGTTCACTATGGAAGATAAAGATAATTAAAAAAGAACAATGTCAACAATTGGATGAAAACTCGGTGATTTGAAGCTTAGGTGCCTTTATCAGACGTTAGGATCATTTATTTTATTCATGGTAGACTTGTGAATGTACACTATTCGGTCAGTCAGTCATCTGCAACGTAGGACCTGGCACATAAATACATCGGTCATATCTAATTAGCATAAAAAGGATGAACACCAAATTCACAAAAGCAGTTACTTCGATGGTAATATATATTGCACATAAGGATATGATACATGGAAGAAATAATTACTTCGTAGAAAGAAAAGCATAAAGTAATTTAAATTTCATAGTTTAAGGGAAGACAAAGAGTGCATACACATACGACATTGTGATCACTTCTGAGGCATGTCACACACAGTCTCCAACCACTGGTTACAACAGTCGCGCGAACCTCAACCAAGTAGTCTGCATGGCTCAAACCAGAATTTAGTGATATTATGGACTGATGCCATATCTTGAATTGACCGCCCCTAACTTTCTTCCAACCGTCTCCATCAATAGTCAACATTGCGGGCAGTGGTAATCGGTGGTTGGGCATGCGTAATATACGGTCCATCCATCTCAGTCGATGAAGATTCAAAACCTCATCAACAGATTTACCATCATTCCATAATATCCTGCATCTAACCTCATTATTACTTACCCGGTGATTCAAGCAGATACGAGTAATATTTCTAAGACATATGTGATCAAATACTAGTAACTTATGAGTATTCTCTACCCTTACTGACCATGTTTCGCAGCCGTAAAGTAAAACAGAACAAACTGCTGCGCAGTATACTTGTACTTTAATTGATAGAGGAATATCTCACTTTAATAGGCGATGTAATTTGGAAAATACGTACTATTAGGTCGAAACAGTTATCTAGTGTTTCCTAGTTCTTGATGATTGTCTAATTTAGGTTGGTTTATGATCTCAATAATATGGCTTCTACTTTCATGGTACATTCGGTTAGGTATAAAACTCTACCTTAAATATAGAAGACACTAGTCCGTTGTTAATTGATGTATATCAAAACCACTTACTGTTTAAATAAGCATAAATCTATTATAAAATAATACACTAAGAAGAAAAGAAAATAATCACTGCAGAGGGAGATCCTAAACTTACCAAATTAGTCTTTTCATATTATCCATAACTGATTATGTGTTTCCTACATCCTTTCTTAGTATCGATGGAAACGTGAAAGTTGAAATGAAGATTATGATGATTGACTTTACATGTTGGTAACGCCGACTTCAAAAAAGAAAACTAGACTACTTCCAGTGTTAATTATCTGTTATTAAGTTGAAGTTGAAAACTTTATCAGGTTTCTGAATAAACGGAGGTTCTCTGATTAGATCGTTACCAATATTAGTTCTGTGTCAGTACAAGTGATTTCTTTTGGGAAGCTATTTATTTATTTACTTATTTGAACACAAAGATATTGGTACAAGGAGGTACTAAATAGATATGCGCCACACAAAACTCATTTGATTTGTGTGGGGGCTGTGATACTGTCCGGGTGCTCAAACCAAAACAGGTGGTTTTATTAGGGGGCCACACCCGGAGCCTTTGACATAAATGTCTGATCCACAAAGCAGTGGAGTATCATAAGGAGATGCAGTCTCATAGTTGCCTGTGACCAACGATTGGTTCATACGCCATTTGTTCCGTCAGGATACTGGGGCCGATGTGCATCATTGGTTTGGAATGAGGGTTTTCCAACTCCTCTAGGTAGACTCTCCGTGTCCACTTAGCCCGGTTAAAATGTCGGACATTCGCTTTTCATCCTCTCAAATTCGTAAACAACACCCTCGCCACGAGAAGGCAGTGAGTAGGACTTTTCTGGCAGAAGCTATGTACTCGTGGCCATGTGAGAGCATTTGGAGAGGGAGAGCGGACTCTCCTCACTCTTGGCCATACCAGGGCATTTGGGGAACTGAATATATTATGGTAGCTTTCTCGGTGATCTGAATGAACAAACGGAGGGTTTTGGTGTCTAAACTGTTATATGTAACATCTATGGCTAATAAGTAACGTGTATCCTAATAACAAAACTTGTTTTATGATTCATTCATGTTACACTTTTGACATTTTAGTATCTATACCAATAACAACTCCATGATTGTTGAGTTTATTTTTTGCGATAAAATGTATACAACAATCACAAATCCTGAATTGTGAAATCACTTCAACAAAGGTCAACTAGAATTTGTATTATTTCACATTTATATCAACTCTGTTCAAAATATTCATTTTCAAGTGACCTACAAAATCTCATACTTTCAAATCATGTAACTTGATGGTTTTTACTATTATCAAGTAAATTTGTATTGAAATGATCATATCTATAAGCTGACCTGAATTTTGGTACTGAATTTTACAATCTATTTTGTAATTATCTATATTGTTACTATTAAATTTGACCGAAGAATAACCATCAAAAGTAGTATTTAGCAAGAAGGATACATATAGAGAGGATGAATCAGTGTTATGTAAAAAAAAATGCTCAAAAAGATAATAATTTACTTACGCCTGTTACCCCCCCCCTTATGGAGGAGCATAGGCCACTCACCAGCATTCTCCGTCCTGGACAATCCTATCCAATTGTTTCCAGTTGCTATTCATCATTTTCATGTCTACTTCATTTCTCGCCGCAGTATGTTCCTTGGCCTTCCTCTTTTCTGTTTCCCGTCAGAATCCCAAATTAGTGCTTGCTTAGTGATGCAGTGTGATGATTTGCGTAATGTATGTCCTATGCACTTCCAGTGTCTTTTTCTAATTTTCTTTTCAACTGGAAGCTGGTTTGTTCTCTCACAAAGCAGACCGGTGTCTATGATATCTGACCAACGGACATTCAGTATCAATTGTTTATAAAAACTTGTACATTTTTGGTGATGGTTGTGGTAGATCGTCACGTTTCAGCTTCATACAGTGGAACTGTCTTGACGTTCGTATTGAAGATTGTAACTTTGATATTGGTCGATAGTTGTTTTGAGTTCCATATGTTCTTCAACTGTAAGAAAGCTGTCCTTGCTTTGTCAATCCTCGCCTTTACGTCTGCATGAGATTCTCCCTGTTCATCGATGATGCTGTTCCGGTACGTGAAAGACTCCACCTCTCAAAGAGTTTCGCCATCAAGTATGATTGCGTTGGTGTTCTCCCTGTTGTAGTTGAGGATCTTGCTTTTTCTTTTGTGTATGTTGAGGCCTACTGATGCAAAGGCTGCTGCTACACTGACAATCTTGACCTACATTTGATGTGTATAGAATAGAAGTGCCAGGTCATCTGAAAAGTCCAAATCGTCTAGTTGCATCTAACCTGTCCATCGTATTCCGTGCTTCCCGTTAGATGAGTAGGCCTTCATAATCCAGTCAACCACCAGAAGGAAGGGAAAGGGGGGAAGTAAGCAACATTGTCTGACTCCGGTTCTCACTTGGAATGTATCTGCTAGCTGTCCTCCGTGCACGACTTTGCATTGTAGTCCATCGTATGAATTCCGGATGATATTGACGATCTTCTCAGTTGTCCAGTGCTTCTTTAGCTTTAGTTTCATCTCGGCCAAAACAAGATGGTGATCTGAAGCTATGCCAGCTCCTCTCCTGGTTCTCACGTCTTCCATTAACCTTGTGAATTCTTTAACTGATGAAAATATGATTTATCTCGTTCCCTGTGGTGTGGTCCGGTAAGATCCATATAGCTTTGTGTAGGCATATTGTGTCGTCTATAACCAATTTGTTGAATGCACATAGATTTGCAAATCTCTCGCCATTCTCTTTCCTTTCTTCTAGTTCATGTAGTCCCATAATGGCCACTTTGGCTAGAGTACATTATTCCAAAGCTTAACATTAATGATAAATGATTGAGATTTGAGAAACAACTTTTTGTGTTGTTTGTGATATCAACTGTCAATTAATAAGTCACTGATTCAGACCCTAATCAACCCTCAACCAATTATATGCAAAATAGAATGTATCGCATATCTAAATCAGTCTGAGTTATAATGTCAAACTTAAACAGATTCGAAATCTCACGGTAGTACTACCAGTTGTGATTATTGAATTGCCTTAGTTGCACTCTATTACTGTTTGTTATCGATCGCTTTCATGATTAAATGTAAGCGAATTTTATGTGCTTACTAAGTCGTCGGCTCATTTTCTCTTTTTGTATATTTCATCACATGCGCTGCTCTGTATGTTCCCCTAGCACCCAGAGTACTTCAAGACAAGATATGCACTGCTACACACACTATATCATAGTGTGATAACAATTTACAAGATAAATAGCAAAAGAGTTGAAAGAGCAGTAGTAGCAATGAGACTAAAATAGGAAAATTATGAGAAATAGGGGATATGATTCAGAAATAATGGACGAATCCGCTTAACAAAAGATAGAAAATAATCTATAAACTAAGGCAAAACAAGGATTGAATACCGTCGTGTGTTTGTGGTCAATTATGAGACATGTCACCACCAGATGTTTCTAACCACTAATTGTGATTATCCGGCAAAACCCGAACACGTAGTTTGAATTTACCAAAATGACTCAGTGCAAGAATCCATAAGTTTATGGATTGATGCCACGTTTTCATTTGGCTGCCGACTAGTTCCCTCCCAACCTACTCCTACCTCAGTCAACATCCTACATCGAGGTAGACGGGTGTTGGCAAAACGTAATGCATATCACAATCATTTCAGATGATGAATGTTTATAATTATACCAACTAATTTACTATTTTCACCTAGTACTCTGCATTTAGCATCAACATTACTCATTCAGTGGTTCCAACATACCCGGGCAGTGCTTTGAAGAGATAAGACGGAATACTAGTTACTCAAACGTATCCCCACAACACAGCTGTAAAAGAGGAATACTGGTCAATATACTACATGAGAGAGTTTAATTGAATAAATGTTCTCTTATATTGCCAGATGTAGATGGTGGTTGGAGGTAGTCAACAGGACTGTTGACTGTTAACCATATAAATCTCAATATATAGTGCCCGCAGTGTCGAGTCACATAGACTGGTGGCCACATTGCAACATGGTCGATAGCATTCGATCTGCACTAATAAGGACTAGACATGCATGACATTGATCACCACCCAGTGATCAATCAATTGTGATTGCCAGATGTCTCATGTCTAAGCATCACAAAATCTGAATCAATATAACTACTCACAATAAGGAACTACATGAATACTATCATAATCTATTCGCCCAATTTAATACACAAAATAATTCTAATTATTTTATTAAAATAACATACGTCACCTACCTTGCTATAATGAAATAACCGCTGGTACTTACATCCGAAATTCATTCTCACTAAACATTCACCATAAAATGGAGGTATATATATATATATAAAGCCTTATTGTGATTGGTTAATTTATCAGTCTATGTGTGGTGTGTTCTACTTATATTGATATAAGTAGTATCTGATGTTAGTCGCGAACAGAAGGTCTGGAAGCAGAGATACAAGAGGATCGAACAGTAAAGAATGGAAGCAGAATGCAATTTGTATGGAAATGCAAGAACAATGAAGTCCGAGTCATTTTGAGACAATCGATGAACATTTTGTAAATTAAGCATTTACTTTATGATTGTTAGATTTTATTAACAAGTCCTGTAATTGTATGTTAAATACATTCGATTGGCCCAACCCGTGTTCTGTTCACTACATATGGACTAAACTGCCTATGGGTGTAGAGAGGACTAGACTTGTATTGTCATGGTATCACAAAAAACCGGACATTACATTACACACACACACACGCGCATACAGACAAACAATAACTTACACAGTCGTATATATGGATAGATAAATAAATAAAAATAACTTTTATAGATGGGGCATGTGAATCATCACAATTCACTAACAAGGGTCAAGACCTTAGTCATTCATGATGTGATACACAGACTTCTCACATAGACTAGATAGAATAAAAGGTTAAAAGCAGGCTTAATAATGCAATGATCCCCTAACACATACATACATACATACATACACCAATGTACAGTTAATTTACAAGAAGCAATCGATTTTTAATCACGTACGATGATTCACGTACACACAAACAAACTACTGAATCAAAAGAAATGATTCCAATGAAATTCGATAATTTCCACAATTCCCATATTGAAGACTATCGTGCGCGCACTAATGACTAGCTTTGAGAAGAACTTTAGGAGTTCTAGTTAAAAACCGTGTTGGGTGTAAGTCAGTTATCTACTGAACACAATGAAAGATGGTCGCGTAGATTAGTTGAAGTAAAACATCAACGTAAATAGATGCCGGCTCAATGGTTTAGAGGCTAGCCGTTCGCGCGTGAGAACGAAGGTCTAGGGTTCGATTCCCATGTTAAAATTCGTGGATGCCCACTGTTGAGGAGCTAAATACTCAGACAGAATGGTCATCCGTTTGTATTTCCAATGAAATTCAACAGTCTGTACAACCCCTTGCTGATGAAATAGTGAAGAAAAAAACAACAGGTTGCTAAATCATTCAGGAAGATCTAAGTATACTACTAGTAAATCATTTAGTAGTGTAATCTCTATCATATCTAATGTTTAATCTTTGATTAAGTTGTAAAGCATTACTAGGTTATTATTATGTCAAAACTTTTTCTACTATTCACCTTCAACCGTATAATTACCCAAATTATTTCCAAGTCATATATAATTATCAGTATAGGGGTTTTGGAGATTATTAAGTTTTTGATTGAGATCATGAACCGATTGATGTTAGACCACCGTTGGAAACCTGGAAGCATATATAATTAACCCATGAATTTGAATATATTCCTCTTATCAAGTTTTTCCACAGAAAGAAGAAATGTCAACAACTATGTTAAGATACTGTTCGTATCATACAGTATTTATTTAGTATCACGTGTGGGGTTTCTGTAAAAGCGTAGAAGTGCATTTCGGAATTTACGTACAGAATAAGTTTGATTAAATCGCTGGTTCAAACACTTACTCATCTACTTCACTTGTGAGCAACCACGACCAGGCAGAATCAATAGTTTTCATAACTTAAAGAGCAATTCCAAGAGAGAGAAAGAGAGAGAGATTGTTGCGTTCTCTGAGCTAGATCGTTTAACTGCGGAGCTTTTGTTTTCAGTTTAGAAAATATTACCAGAACTCACTTAATGTAGAAAGGAACTTCTTACTTATTTCACAGTTATCAAACAAGTTTGTTGTGGTGGCCTTATTTTGAATTGATTGTCGAGAACTGATAGTTCTACCAAATATCTGATCAGTATTTAAGAGATTCCCATGAGGATTTAAAAAACCTGAGATAAATGTCACCTATGAACCAACGCATTCACTTCATGTAATTATATGCAGACCAAAAGACATAACAGCGAAAGAAGACAAATGTAACATAATCTACACAGTAGACTGCCTCAACTGTAAACAACACTATATTGAAAAAGGTAAGCAATCTATTGATTTATGCATACACGAAAACAGGCTATCCATTAGTGAAACGATACGATATGCTATTGCTGACATCCATGCATAAAGAATCCGACAGTAGCTACTACCTTGATGTGGAGGTCGGACTTGTCTATCAAAATGACTCAGCAGAGTTATAATGACTGGAACGCACGTTCCTTTAGGTCCTGCCATGCCAGGAAGGTCGGCTGGAAAACGGTAAGACTAAAAGTAGCAGCTTAATGAACAGGTATATGCCACTTGGTTGGGATCCGCGTGATTATCGTAACCAATGATTAGAGACTTTCAATCACATAACTTAAAATCACTTGCAGTGGCGCAGGCGCATCCATTCTCTGTCTTCCCACAAATCCTGAGAACCTAAATACTTCATAACAATGTTTTTATTTCGCGAATTAATACTTTCATTTTGGGTCGTATCTTCGACACCAAATCCTTCCTAATACAACTGATACTGTTGCTACTGCTACTATTCTGAGATCTGATTTGACAACTTAATCTGTCTGTGTAAATGGGGTATGACAACTTGAAATGGTATAGGTACACACAGGTTCTACGTTGTTAATGAATGACTGACGCATGTAGACTAGAATATGGACATGGATTTGACTAGGAAAACGTCAAAACTCCGACCTAAGGAAATTTTAAGAATAACGGAGGATTTCTGAAAGCATGATATTCAGACCAATTAGTAGTCAATGATACATTGGATTTGACTCGCTTTATCAACCCGTTCGAAACATGTTAATCAAGCACATGGTCAGAGATCAACTGAACAAGATAGTTAGCATGAATAAAACAAACAAAGACAACCAAACATGTAACGGAAATTAATAACAAACGAGGCCAACAAGGAGAAACTTATTTAAGGCTGGTGGAATAGCTAAGAAGCTTATCTCTGAATGAGATGGGTGGTAATGTTGTCTAGAACGACTGTGAAAGTTTTTCAATCCAACCAACTAGTCCAGAGAATTCAACATCAAATGTGTCCATCTAAGCTAAAAAAATTTCATGATATATACATATTAATAAATAAGAGAGATAAATCCACTTACTTTTCTACACTAGCAAAACGCTTCACAAGCAAATCAATAATTTCTTTCTCTTCGTTTAGATTATTCAAATCACGTAAAGTTGTCGGTTGATATATCACAGATGAATGAATCATATGATTTTTATCAGATGATTTTACTGGAAGGTTTGACACAGAAGAACTAGAAGAAGAAGTAGGAGGCACTAGGACTGATGGTATTGTCGGAGGTGGTACTTGTTGATGTTGTCTGGTTGGAAGATTACGCGCTAATCGCATACGCATTCGACGTTCATGTAATGTTTGAGTATTTGTCACAGGTGTAATAGGCAATGAATGATTTTGTTCAGATGAATGCGTTGAACACATAGTAAATGATTCTGATTTACGTGTAACTGGATTATGTTTATGTGTGGACGGTGCAGTAACACCTGAAGTATTATTATTATTACTATCATTATTATTATATAATGTATCAATAAAACATACAGGAATTTGAGCATTTGAATAACTAGTTAAATGAAATGACAATGCACCGTGATCAAATAAACGTTGATAACGTTCTAATTCCCATGATGGTTTCCCAATAAATGGATTATCAAAACATCTATTTTGATATGACGTTTCATTTAACATACAAAATTTTGAATAATCACTTGGACGTTTCGATAATCCAGGTGATGTTAATGAACCAGTTAAAAGTGAACAAACAATATGCCATGATGATGTTGCATCTAAGAAAGATTCAACATTAGGTATGGTAGAACAACGATCCTATACAATGAAAAGAATTAAAATGTTAGAGGTAATTTTAAGATTATGATGAAACACTAAATGCACTACTTAAAAATAACTTATTTAAGTAGTATATAACTTAGCACACACAAAATTATATCTTTCTTGATTTTTGGATGAAAAAATAAAAATAAAATATTTATAATTATTTATTTCTTTATTTTAACACATAGACATTAGAACAATGGGGCACCGAATACATATGCGACACACAAAACTCATTTGATTTGTGTGAGGGCTGTGATACTGCCCGGGTGCCCAAATCGAAGCAGGTGGTTTTATTAGGGGGCCACATCCGGAGCCTTCGACCTGAAGGTCTGATCCACAAGAGAGTGGAGCAATGCAAGGAGACGCAGTCTCATGGCAGTCGGTGACCAACGATTGTTTCATACGCCATTTGCTCCATCAGGATCCTGGAGGGTTTTCCAACTCCCCTAGGTGGACTATCCATATCCACCAACCCGGTTAAAGCACCGAAAATTCGTTTTTAGTCCTCTTAATTTCGTAAACAACAGTAATGCCACGAGAAGACAGTGAGCAGAACTTCCCTGGTAGTTTTTGTGTATACATGGCCATGTGAGAGCATTTGGAGAGGGGGAGTGGACTCTCCCAACTCTCGGCCGTACCAGAGCATTTGGGGGGATATATTTATAATAATTTGAATAAAATTCAGTATTAAACCGATTGATTTCGAAAGCAAATTAATTTTAAGTATCATATTTAAACTATGACTGACAATATTGAACATTGTGTTATTCACATTGAACTTGAACATTTTAAACTTTGTCTTGAGTTATTTTAGTGTCTAACTATCGTCAGAATATATTTTCTGAAGTTAATCTATTACTAAAGAGATTAAATCGCTTCTAGATTAATTTTCTAAGTTAAACTCCTTACAATATTCATGATAATCACTAGTAAGAATTGGTTAATAATTAACATTCCAAACAGATTAGTGTATAAATAAACTATTGATATTACACTTGTAGTTATGTAAAATTATTAGGTGAATTGTATATCCGATTAACTGTTTACGCCCCGTACCCTTAATTGACTTATACTTTCAGGTATATACCTATAACTGTAAATTTAAAATTATCAAGTTGCATAAAAGTAATCTGAATCAAGGGTTTATCACAATTATAATTGATATTTGTTTACATAATATTCACAATAATTACCAAGAGAACTGATTATTTGAAGTTATGTACAAACCATCATTGTAAATGAGGATATTTTAACTAACATTTACATTGAAAGATCAATTCATAATCGGTTAATTGTGATTTGTATGATTGTTTACTTAGATTTGGTTATGTTCAGTCAGTCAGCTACAACGTAGGACAAGGCACATATATGCATCGGTCCACGTTGCCATACCTCATTAACACAACAAGATGTTATGTATATAATATAAGGTAAATGATAGAAACAATGTTTATCTACTGTAAGTTTTATTATTAATTTGAGTATATATATATCGCCAATAAACTTTACTTAAATAGCCACTAAAAACCAGGAAGCACGAAATAGTTGCCTCATTTGAGCATATGACTTCCCAGTAGTGTGAACTAATGACTTTCTTGAAATTGTGAATATCTAGAACTTTCAAGCTTCTCAGTAAGAATGATACCCTTAGACTACTCGATATATTTCTATCTAATAGTTCACGTAACAAACTTTCATCAATTCAATATGGTGGAACTATCATTGATTGACATATCAATCAAGTCTATCTAATGATCACTCTATTTCATTGAACTCCATTGGATATAGCTACTTAACGAAATAGAACGTATTCCTTTTCAACCACTAACTATAATCAAACTACGATGTGAATTATTTTCAAATCATTAGTGTAAATGTCAGACATAAATATATCAGTTCTAAATCAGGGTGTAAAGATAAGCAAGCTTCTTTCAAATTTCAGAAAAAGAGTGACATCTAATATTTTCGGACATTTTTCCGTTCACTTAGTTTGACAGTACTGCATATAGGAGTGTAATTTTCACTGGGGGGGACATTATATATATATATATATATATATATATATATATATATATATATATATATAGCAATTCACGGACACGAATCCTATCCTTACAAGGGGTCAGTCATGATCCATATAATCTAACGGTAACATGTGGACTACGGAGCTGAGTAACGCAAGTCGAATTCACGAAACCTAAATCTAGAGTTTCTAGTTAATGATCTCTAACCACGTAACATCTCAACATCATCATTGAATTGATCTGTAGGATTCGATTAATAATAAATTTATAAAAACATGACAATAGCTACAATCAACTGACTAATTAGTGTATATATTTCAATCTTAAATCCGATGACTTGGAATGTGCATTAGGTCGTTGATGAATTTTCTAACTAGAAAGGGTGTTGACAACCCTTAGGAAGCTTCGATTTCATTAATGTTGTAGTTGGAACTTATCGATTAGTTTCAAATAAGCATAAAGACTTGTCAATATGTTTAATGAATCAAATCACTATTATTAAAATAAATGTAGTGACATATTGATAAAAATACATTAAAATGGACAGAACAAAATAGATAAATATTAGGATAACATATGGAAAGATAACAAATTTTTTTAATAGCTTGATTGGGTTCTTATATCATGAGAGGAATTAAAACCACGTAGATGAAATACTCAATAGGTGAAAGTGTACTTTACTTACATAGGTTCCCTTATTTATTTATTTGAACAAATTAACATTGGTACAAGGGGGCACCAAATACATATGCATTACACAATAACAATGAGGCTATTAGTAGTTATCATTGATTTGTGTAAAGGCTGTGATGCTGCCTGGGCGCACAAACTGAAGTAGGTGGTTTTCTTAGAGGGCCACTTCCCGAACCTTTGACCTTAAGTTCTAATCCACAAGGCAGGGAGCAACGTCAGGAGATACAACCCTATGGTAACTGGTGACCATCAATAGATTCATACACCATTTGTTCCTTCGAGATCGTGTAGCCCATATGCACCATTGGTTTGGTTTTCCAACTCCCCTGGGTAGACTCTCCATGTCCACCAACCCGGTTCAAGAGTCGGACATTCGCTTTTCGTCCTCTTGGTTTCGGAAACAACACCCTCACCACGAGAAGGCAATGAGTAGGACTTCCCTGGCAGGGCTGTATATGCGTTGGCATGTGGGGGCATTTCGAGAGGGAGAGTGGACTCTCCACACCCTCGACCGTACCAGGGAATTTGTAGAGTAAAAGCATTTGGATAATTATGAAAAAGATTAGACACTGAGAATATGGTTTCAGAAGGAAAAACATAAAAGTATGTGTGCAGTGAATAATGGACCTCAATTTAGTGAGTGGATGTAACTGAGACAGTTTCTAAATCATGTAACCAACATCTCCAACTGTTGATTGTGATTATCGCGTAGACCTCACCCAACTAGTATGTATCTACTAACATGGCTCACGTTAATAGCCAATTATTTCCTTGTCTAGTAAAACATTTTATTCTGGTCACCACAAGTTTTCTTACAATCTACTCCTATAGAAGTAATATCGCTTATCGAAGAAGGTTATAGATGAGTATATGTAATCTATGTCCGAATCATATCAGTCGATGAAAATTCACGATGTCATCAACTCATTTGTACGACTTCAGCCTTGAGAAGACATTTATAAAACGGTATACTGTGATATTAGGTTAATATTTTACAGGTTTTACCATTATACAAACAAACACAATGAACAACAACAATATTAAAACTAATCTCTATTTTAAATTTCTCTATAAAATATCACTTGTAAGTACTTTCAGTGATATCAGTTATTTGTAAGAGTACGTTCTTCCCGTTGATGATATTAAGGAATGCAACTGACCGATCTCTTTTGGTATACATGCATCCTCGATTGAGGATTACCATCAGTCACAAGCCTTACAAAAGAGAGTTGGGTAATGGCAAGCAGTGGAATTTAGGATTTACATTTCATCCCACTTTGAGACACGTGTCAGCTGGATAAGTATCAACACTAGGATGCAGGGTATATCCGATTGACAAGTCTTATATCGGACGGGACTAGAGTCCTGGATTCGACTGTTAGCCACTATCCAACTCCCACTTATATCATTCTAGGCTGAAGACTCGACATATCAGTATGGCTGTATTCCAGGATATCATGTATGTATATACACATATGATCCGAACCTATATGCAGACTGCTCAAAAAATAAGGAGTATTAAGGTCACAAGATTAAAGCTTTACTAATAAATTTATCTCCTCAAAAAAGGATTAAATTACAAAGAAAAAAAGAAGAAAACAACTTTTCTATACCTCACATACACTCATACCCTATCACTTACCGTATTAGTAGTATTGGTAAGTTTTGTATCAGATGAAATAGTTAGCGGTAATGTTAATTCAAAACGTTCTAATAATCTTAATGATAATTCTGGATAAATAGAACATAATTCAGCTAAATCATGCCGATCAATAAATTGTACATCAGCATAAGTTAATGCACGAACAGCAAAACGTGATTTTGGAGGTGGATTTGGTTGATAAATTACACTGTTTGAATTATGATTATGATTATTAGTATTATTATAATTAGTAGTAGTACCAGTAGTATTAGGCATAGATGAATAATCATCCATTTGCATATATTTTGCATTTGTATTCATAGGATTCAAATGATTCTCTGACCAATAATCCCATCCACAATTCATTTGTACAGTATAAGGATTTTTTTGTACACTAGCTAATGGAGGTAGACCACCAAAAAAATCACCAGGATTTAATACACCTAAAATAATATCATCTGTTGTTACAACTTCTAAACTGCCTTTAACAACATAATACATAGCTGTGAGTAAATCACCAGTATGTACTAAAGTATCACTTGGTGGCATATGAGAAGAACGAATTCTTAAAGAGATATTTCGAAGGCAACCATCATTTAATGCTAGATGAAGTGAATAAAAGAAAAAAAACAGAAAAAAAGGAAATAAATATACAAGTAATTACAAAGCAGTTATACACAAACGGACACGCACAGTAACATAATGAAAAACATTACTTGTTGATTGTATAGATCATGGATTGATCTCAGTTGAGGTAACTGGAATTAATGGCTGGAGGAATTTGGATAACATGGCTCAGAATAAATCAAAATAGAACAAGTACATTGAATTGTTTATTTTCTTCTCATTCTTCAATTCTAGTACATACCTTTTCAATATACTACTTCAAATCATATTTCAAATGCTTATTCTTTCTTATTGTCATTGTTACTATACGATACTGGTTTGCCCAATCATTCATCTGTTTAACTTTACCTCACCGTACTAATATGGCATGACATCATGGGCTAATCCATATGTGTCAGGCTATGACGTTGATGATGACTGACTGACTCATCTGGGGTGCTATTGAGAACCAAGGAGTAATTGAGGAAATGGTATTTCGTTCTGATATGGGACTCCTCAATATTGCGCACCAAGGACATAGTCCTCGTGGTAAATGCAAACCAAGTGGTCCAAGTGATTATGAGGCGTTTCCTGCCAGAGCTGAGCGTCCTAGGTTCGATAACTGTGGCGGTCATGAGTGGGAAGTGCTAAGCAGTCTCATACTAGAACGAAAAAACTACCCAGATCTCCCTGATTTTCAACGGTACATTAAATCAGATACAACCTACAATTTAAACTGAATAACACAAAAACCATCAACCAAAAAGTTATTTATTGATCGAACGCACCGACACAACGTGTCGGATTGCCCATTTACAAACTGTGCTTGTTCTAACCATGTTGTACTAAAATACAGCGTCCAAGTTGAGGAAAAATACAACTACACAAAAAATTATGATATTAAAAATGTTGAGGGATCTCCTATGATTGATCCGATAGGATTATTCAGACCATCTAGAAGTATATGAGTGATAGTCTGAGATAAGAAAGCTTTTAAATTATTGGGCAGCATTTAAAAAGCTGTATTGATATCTAGTACATTCACATCCTACTGCATTAGGTAAATAAATCAATTGAAGTTAAACATTTACACCATTGGATGCAAGTTGAGAGTTCGCGCGCGACACCGAAGGTCTTGGGTTTGAATCCCAGTCACGGATGTGCACTTCTGATGAATTCCCTACTAGGATATAAAAAACGTGCAGTGCTTCCACGTTTTTATTAGTGGTCTAGCTAAGATCAGTTCGTGATTCAAACTGAAAATAAACAGACATTGTTATAACATTCGAACTTTGGTAGGTTTGGGTCTAACCTGGAAGTAAACGGTGTGCTGAAGGAATGTGCATAGATTAATGTGTCATAATTCAAGAATAGAACTCAAGATTTTTAAGTTTCACATTAATTCATAGCTCATATATCAGTTACAGATTAGTGCACTCTGCTTTGTGCAATATTCTAAGTGTGCGGGATGATGATACCACCCGCTTACCCAAACTGAAGTGGATCGACCCAATGACTAATATTTCGAACTTTAATCAATTCATGATATAGTAAAACGATAATCTAGTGTGATCATTAATGATCAAACTCAGTTCGTACATACATGATGACTTAAAAAGATGTGCGTAAACTCTTTAAATAAACAAAAAAATAAGATCATAACTGTAAATATTTCCTTGAACATACATTTAAATGCAGCTGATCCGCTTAAAAAATGACGATATACATAAAGGCAAATATCAGATTGTAATGATTCCGGAAAACTATACTGAACCATTGTCATATCTATCCCATTTGTATGCTCCCATACTTGTGTAGAATATTCTTCTAACCGTTGACGTAATGGACTTGGAATTTGATGAAAACGTATAAATTCTTTAATACGTAACATTTGTGCGTGATATCTGGCTGTGCCACTATAAAGACGTTGAATTAATGCACCAACATTACCAAATATACTTGCATACATTAAAGCTTTGAGAATAAAAAATGTGTGTATAAATAAATAAATAAACGGAAAAGACGTAGATAAGAGTGAAATTACCAAATTATATAATTTATTCACTAAGTATAGATCCACATCAATCAAATTATCAAACTATACCACAAGCCTTAACTTGAAATCCTTAAGACGAAAAAGAGGTAAACAACAGAACACATTGCGTCGGGAATCCGAGGCAGATAGAAGAATTAATAACACTTAGGAACATCTGGTGAAGTGATAGCTACCCACAAGACTGCATTATTGATGCAACACCCTACGTAATTATGGATCAAAGACAAAACCAGTAGCCAGACGACAACATATTTATATACAGAAGATAAACGCAAAATAAACATGATATATTGTCATAGGGGGATTGAAAGAAATTAACTCGTATGTCACTAATTCTTCCATCGATCAGGATCTGACTGTTGAATCGAAATCTTTGAGTATCATACCAGAAAAACATTATAATTGTAACGCAAATTAGTGCAAAATTCTTCTACTCCCCCCCCAAAAAAAGAAAACACAACTAGCATTAAACGCATAAATCATCACTATAAAAAAAGAAGTGTGACTTATTGTTTAGCGAATAAACCTGTATTTTCCATACACATAGTTCCCTTTATCATTTTGAAAAGAGCAAGAACAAAGATTCTAACAGAATAGCATGAATTCATTTTATTTCGTAGGTTCTCGTCAGCTGCTTACAACCTGTGATATTTAAAAACCATAATTACATGATGGGTTTTAATTGCTTACTGAATATTGTAAATATATACCTAATGTGAAAGAAGTAATTGGAATGGCCTCTACCCGAATTTCAATAGTTTTTGTCCAATTAGTTACAAGAAGGCATTGGTTAAAACACTATTTTACAGGGTAGAAAAGATATGTATCACCGACAAAATGGAAGAAGAATTAATGAACGTAGAAAAATGTCTAAAAGACAACTTTTATCCACAAAAGTTTATTAACAAATATAAAAAGCACAAAGAAGACAAAACGGAAATAACTACGGTCAATAAAAAGCCAGTATATATAAATCTTAACTTTAAAGGTGATGACGTCGCACAAATTATCAACAAGAGACTGAATACAGCGCTAGCCAGAACTTATCTGGCTGCTAAACGTTTAACTCTCTATAAAACAACATGTTCAATAACCCAATCAAAGATCGACAAGCAACCATTTCATGTTACCCCCAACTGTATTTATAAATTTACGTGTACCTGCCAAAGAAGCTACATCGGCCGAACTGAAAGGAGAGCATATCTTAGATTTTTTTAAACATGTTCCAAGAAGTCTTAGAACAAGGGAAAGAAAGACTCTGAACAGTGCAATTATCAAACATCTCCTTGATACAGGACATCAGGTCGATACCCTGCAATCATTCAAGGTGGTTAGGAAGCAGCCAAACTTCAGTCTTCAGAAGTTTGCTGAAGCCATCGCTATCAGGCGTCAAAAACCTGACCTATGTATACAAAAGGAGACGGTGGTTAATCTTTCCTTGCCCTGGTGACAAATATTCCTTCAATGCACCTTGAAAAAAATTTTATTTTTTCAACTGTCTTTCAAATGAATAATCTTTCAACTGAACTCTAATCACTATATTCCTATCAATGTTTATTCATTATGTAATCAATTGTTTCTAACCCACTTTTGAACTGTTGTCATAATTAATGTTGTAGAATATTCTTTCACATTAGGTATATATTTACAATATTCAGTAAGTAATTTAAACCCATTATGTAATTATGATGATTTTTAAATACCACAGGTTATAAGCAGCTGACGAGAACCTACGAAATATAATGAATTCATGCTATTCTGTTAGAATCTTTGTTCTTGCTCTTTACAAAACTTATATTTTCTTGTATATTATAGTTAAAATTACCAACAAACAAAATTGAAGCTTTTTTTGGATTAAATAATGAACATGATTACAGGATTGTATTGTGTAATAACAATCTTTTCTTTTAAGTCACTGTCTAAATTATTTCGAGGTAACATGGTACAGTCTACAAAATTATTTCAGATTATGTAAACTCCCCCCCCCCTGGATATGCTCTTTCGCACACACACACACACACACACACACTTTCTCTCTCTTTAATTCGAAGCACCGATTATTAAAACTGAAAAAATTCCATTAACCATGTAAAAAAAAGAAGAAAGAATGGGGAAAAAAGGGTGTATACACATTTTGAGTTCGATTGAGTTTTTCTAATAAAAAGAATTTTTTTCCTTCTAAATTAATTCGCCTATTTCTAAACAATTCATAAGGTCATTTTTCTATAAAATAGTTGAAATTTTTATTTAACAATAACCCCATACATTTTTGCATATCAATAACATGAATCAACTGATGAGTTTGAAACATTGAAAAGTGTTCCCTGAATAGTGCAAAGTATAAAGAAAGAAAATTATTAAGAGTTTGTTTTAATAGTAACAAATTTAGTTTCTACAAGACTACAATTAATATAAGTTACCTCTTAGATTAGTAGACTTTTACAAACTTAATCAGTGTTTATAATAAAAAGATTAAAAGCGGCAAGTCTAAAGTCTGAGAGTCTGTTATAACTTTTAACCGATGGTGAGAGACCAATGAATTATCAATTGAACCAAGGACGCGTAAAACACGTGCGAGCAGTCAAGAGTCCTTATCAGTCCTGCTTTCCGTCTAGCCCAGTCAGTTAAGTCAACAACACCAATCTCAGCCTCTGTAATATGAATCATTATATTTCAAACATACTGAGTTTATATACCAATCAAACAGACCACAACGTACTAATAAAATATGAAACAACATTTGTACAAGAATTAGCCAGATGTGGCTGTAAATGAGGGAGGCAGTGACTAATAGACAGTGAATAACTCAAGAATGGTAAATCGTATAATAATAGTTCATAGGTTAAAATAAAGCTTATGATAAGAGAGACATGAATATGAACAGTTTAGTTAATTAACAATTATATGTTAAAAATATACGTATGGTATTGATCCATAAATGGATCCCAAAAATTACCACTCATTATTCTTATCGGGGCATACCAGAGCCAAGTCCTATTGTTGACTATACAGTAGGGTGAAGATGGTAATTTATTTCTATTAGACAACCGACATCTGCAGTGACGTCAACTTTGTACAACGAAAGGACAAGGTTATAAAATTTCAACTATAAAAAATAGTACCTTTTATTTCGCTCCATGGCTTTCAAGTTACGAAGTTACCATTTGAAGAACTTCTTGTAGGAAGGTCACATATGACTAGCTCATCCGTCATACTCGTAGGTCCTCTAAACAGCCACCTTCAACTGTTTCATTTTTAGATCCCTCGAGAAGAAGAATTCTTTCGCAATATGAGCAATCGATAAATGGAAAACACTGTCTTACCTCTAACATGACTCAAAGTCAGACCTGATCATGGATATCTAATGTTTTGTTTTTACGATAAATAATCATGTTCTGTTTTCACAACAAAATCTTTTACACAGTCTTAACATATCCATAGGTGTTCTGAAACAAATTAAAATCTAACATTTAAAATTCGGACTTAACGATGAACCATTAACTAGTAAGTTGTAAATATACATGGAACACTTCAATAGTATGAATCTATGCATTCATAGCTTCATGACGCAAAAATTTAAGAACGTGTACAACACTCTACACACCACTAGAAAATTGTTTTGACCAATTTCCTAAACTGTATTAATAATGAAAGCGCTAAGAAATTGTACTTTATTTTCATAAGTGACAAGTTGAAAATGGAGTATCTGATAACTGTTAAATCCAGACGAAGAATAAGTGAATGATAACTGCTAGGATTTATTTATGGACCGTTATTGTATAATTACGAAGTAACTATATTATATGTATATTCATATTCCTCTTATTATAAGTTTCCATTTAACTTATTTAATACTATTATACAATTTATTCCCAATTTATTAGTTAAAGTATCTCATAATCGTAAGCACTTTCGGCCTGACCTTGTATAATTGTTATTTCCTATTTTATGGTGTGATGTGGTCTGTTTGGCTTGTATATAAACCCAGTATGTCTGAAATACATCATTCATATAGCGGAGTCTGATATTGGTGTTCTGGACTGAAACGGCTGAGTTAGAAGAGAAGCTACTATCTCAGTGGACTAAAGGGAAATCAAAGTTGACTATAGGCTGCTGGTACTTGTTTATGCGTCAGTGGACTGGTCAACAAAGCGGTGTTCTAATTGGCGATCCTATCACAAGATAATTAACGGACCATAAGGACATAACAATAACTGTATCACTTACTCTACTGTTACTTTACGAACTCTTAACCTCTAGACTACTGAGCCAGCATCCAAAGGTGTTGACGTCTAACTGCAATCGATCTATGGTCATGCGTAACCATTCATCCATTGTTTGAGGTAGATACCTGTCTCTATCCGACATAGATTGAACTCAACTGGTAACGGTTTCTCACTATAACTCCAGAAAATCATCTTGAAGCCAGTCACTAGTGAGCATATGATGATTATTATCAGAATGGGGGTTTGTGGAGATTGCAGTAATTTTAATAGTTGAATTTATAAGTGCTTCCGAGTTTTCAATGGTGGTTTAACTTACATCAAATTATGTATTCAACTATTAAAATTAATAATTATTTATCTACAAAAGTTCATCAATAAATACTGGGAAGATGAGAACGTAAAGAGTGGAGTGTATGTTAAGATTGACAAAAAGTTTATTTACCTACAATGTAACTTTTAAGCGCAATAAAATTAAACAGGTTGATTTGTGAATGTGATAGATAACCTAGAAAAATATCTTTATCTGCAATGACAGTCTACCTTCAGAACGGACGGATCGCGCGTTAGAATATGTACCTGTCTCATGTTCCCTTTGATTCTCTTTATTGATTAAGTACATATTCAAATATGCATACCGGAGGTGAGACTATAATTTATGAACGACCTTTGAAAGACGCTAAAGTGACTTTGAGACAATCCAACTACTTACTGGGGTCAAAAGAAGGTTACAAATTAGTATGAGTGATTAGAATTTAGGGTTGTTAGGAATTAAAATAAAGATTTTCATCACGAACTGAAATCACCTATAACGCCGAAATAATATTTAACTATATAGATGAATGAATTTCGTGCCGAAATTCAAAACCTGCTATACCTAATTTCATTGGTTTTTTCCATAAATTATAGTCTCGTCACGTCGGAAGATTAAGAAAAATAGATTCCTATCCGTGCTGCTGAGTACAATACATGTACTCAACATTGTAATTTCTTATAAGTTACTTAATGGTAAACATGATGTTCAGAAGTCAAAAGCGTTAAAAGTTATTTATAATAATATGTTTCGTTACACCAAAAGAGTTTTCAGAGCAAACATGTAATGATGTAATGTGGTTGGAGACAGGATACTCTGCCCAACCAAGGTCTCGTGCTGTTCAGCACTCGTCAGTAAATTATACAAATAATCTTGAGAGAACAGATACTGAAGGAGGAGAAGGAGGATTCGATCCCGTAACACTGAGCTTCCTGTAGGACTGAAACATATTTGCCATCAACTGACCACTGAGTAGCGACCAATGTCGTGTATGTCGTATCCTTTTGCAAGGTCATGATGTCGAGTAACTTGAGCCAATGACTACATTGCAACTCGATCGATAGAATACGATTAGTATTAAGATGGACGTGGCAAACATGACATTGGTTATTACTCAGTGATTAATCAATGGTAAATATTGTAATGAACACTGAAAATTCATATAACTTAAGCAAATTGGATACGATTCTCTGTAGAGTATTGAATAAACACAATTGACAAAACAACTGTTTACTGCTTAGTGCCTTTCAGTTCATCCCAGTCGATGATTTTTCACGTTCTAATCAGTTATATACAATCCACAAAGCTAGTTTTGTCGAATTTAATAAAAGATAAGAATTGTATCGATTATATCCATTTCTGTAATCTGAAGAAAACTTTTACACACAAAGACTATTACTACTAATGATAGCAATAATAATAATGCTAACAGTATTAGCATTGATAGTAAGAACAACTGTTTATTTAACCATTCGTATTACAGTAAGGAAACAGAAAATTCGGGTAAACAAACTTCCCTGTTTATTTTCTAAGTTGAATAAGTAAACAAATTGACATAATATAACAATGTTACAGTGAAGAAAAGGTCAAGCAGAAAGAAAATTGGTTATATATATATATATATATATATATATATATATATATATATATATATACTAAAGTAGACAAGCAAAAAAGAAACAGTGAAGTAGTAAACAACGTGACCTACACAAAACAAAACAGTAGAAAATAACAAACCAATCAATCAATCAATATTTGTTAAATGGGTAAATAGATGAAGATAACTGGATCACAAGTCACAACTAAGTTGTGATTATGACTTAGCAATGAGGCAAGTTTCGGCCTACTTGAGACTCGTCAGATGAATGCAGTACTCGCAGTATTTCTCTAATCTGATAATAACACTCTGACTCGAACCATGGTACTTGCCGCTTGAAACATTGACGTTATTAATCATCAAGCTACTGAGTCTTAGATTGCGCTGCTAGTAATATCGAAGTATTGGCTCAAGGAGCCCATACACCGACAGAGACCAAGAGGTTTACATTTTTAAATATTAATAGCAATAGAAAACAAACTTTTAATATACTGATAATAGCTTATGTATATCATTAAATGAAAAATGAAACTTACAACCAACTAACATTACTATAATAGAGAATACTTTTTCAGCATTTGTGTTAGGACTGACATTACCGAAACCAATTGATGTAAGACTAGAAAAAGTGAAATACAATGCAGTGATATATTTTGTTTTTAAATCAGGACCGGAATTCGGTTGATCAGTGTAATATTGTTCAGTATGTATAGCCAATGTATCTAACCAACCAATTTTTGGATCTCTATACAAATGTTCTGCATTACCAATAGCATACCTATATTAAAAAGGAATTATGTAACAGAGGAAAAGAAAGAGAATATGATTTAATATAACGGTATCAATAATGTATACATTTATGTGTATATTAGAAATTCTTAATGGAATCGGTTGAAGAGAAACATTCCACTGACTACAAAGAAAATTTAACTCTTAACTGAAGATTTTTAATGGACTGATTTGGGTCACGATAGCTTTGAAAGACAGATTTTTGGTCCCTTTCCTCAAAAGGGTATATCCAATGTGAGTGTTAGTAAGATACTTTTCGAAAACTGAATTGAGATCGGATTGTTCATACTTTTACAACTCCAAACAATTCGTCAAATAATCCGACGATAATTTCCTGTCATCAATGATAACTGGCCTACTTTTAACATGGTCAAGCTACGCTGTTCATGATATCTCCACAGAACTTGAAGAATTTCATCCAGAAGCTAATCAATAATCACCATATGATTATCATTTGAATTGATTGTTTCGTAGGAATTTTGTTTACATTTTTTATTATGAATTGAAATGAATCTTTATAATTTGGAGTAAGTGCAATGCATACATATTATAGTGAAGTTATCCTGTGTTTTAATTATAAGTCTGCCACTGAAACACTTATTACTGCCTTCCTAGCCGCCTTCTGTAGCCACAAACTACTACACGTTAATCTGAATAATGGAGAAAAGGTGTGAAATATAAGTAAAAGCCTTACTCCAAGGTTAGTTTATGCACAGAAAATCGAGGGTATTTATAGTTATGCGTAACCTTGGACTTAGAAATCTCTGAAAATATAATCAAATACAGTACTAGTATAGGTAATTATTCAACTAATAACATGACATGTGATTCTTCATTTTCTAGACCTCTAAAGACTTTGACGAGGGATACTTTTGAGACTCTCCAACATTTACCTGCAACAAAATATAAAAGGATTAAAATTCTAAAGTTTTGCAATTTTAGATAATGCTTAACACTTTGTATATTATAAATACAGGTACTCAGTTTACAATCAGTATAGATTATTAGCTCGAAAATTGAATTCATTTCGTCTTAGTCCTCTGGTTATTATAGAAAGAATCAAATTGATTATGTCAGCAGCGGGTTGTGAAGATTGTCAAATTTTATTCCAATAATGAACCGATCTAATTTACAATGAAATTCAATGACCTCCACAACCCAATACCGATAAGTATCATGTGCTCAATAGTGACAGGCTTCGATAGGAAATTCCCAGAGTTCTAATGAGAAGCTGTAAAAAGTGAAGTTAAAGGGTACTGCGTATGAGGCAGTTATCTATCGAAAACAGTGAAAGATGGGTGTTCAAAGTCGTGAATTGATTTAAGTTAGACATTAACATCATTGGATCACAGCTCAGTGGTTCAGAAGTTAAGTGTTCGATCCCATGTGCAGACTTGTGGATGCACATTGTTGGGGAGTGACTATATTAGGACTGGACGATTATTCAGTGCTTCTAGGTTTGCAGCAGTGGTTTTGCATTAATCAGTTCGTGATTTCAATGAAATTAATTACCATATGATTGTGAAGAATTTGGTTTTTAATTTCCGGTGATATTTACATCGAAAGGGACGTTACATTCTACTCTTTATCAACAATGACACTATCAAATTATATCAATTGGAGAATCACAGATAATCACTGAGGATAGTCAAAATATCACTATGAGGAAATTCTCTGTATGAGTTTTAACCCTATACATATTGCTAGTACAATGTACACAGTTATCGATAGAATTTTTATTACTATAAACTCAAGTCGAATTCCCGGTAAAAACAACTTCAAATAATAATAATAATAATACTAACATTATAGTTTTGCCATTGGTTGGACAGAAAATGTGAGACTTCACAAACGAGAACATAAGCGGGGACAACCAAATGTATTTGAACATAAAATTACAGAATGTCTTAGTAAAATCTGAGAGCCATATAGTAAATACTTCATTTGCAAAATGTCAATCTTCGCAGACTTCATTGTTTCTTCGTTTCCACAGCAATCACTCACTGTTCTCGTTCTCTTTTCTTCGATCTTAATATTCTGCCGCCAGGTATTTCACTTTCGATTGATGATATATACTACTTAGATCTGTCGACAACAGTAGCACGCAAAACTTAACTAGTAACGCCCTCACTAAATAATAACACCTCTGACAATGACTGAGTGTGATACAGATTCAAATATCAAAGAGAGGATTAAATAACATAAGATTGCGTATGCCTTGTTGAAAAGTTATAAGGAATCTGGGATTGACAGTTGTCAACAGATTGCTTCCAACTATTTCAGACAACTCCATACCTATTTTTTATTAGTGTAGATCAGGTTCTGTGTAGGGTGATTCGGTGAAACCAATATACCTTAGTGTATGCGTTTGTTAGAGAAAATACTGTCACCTATATCCATGTTGTTGAAAGCACATGAATTTGCAAATCCTGTGATTCCTTTGTTCTAGCTCATGTTGCGCCATCGTACTTTCACATCCGGTGTTGTCCATCCCGACTTTGGCGTCTAGGTCTCCCATTAGGATGATCAGGTCCTTTCTCGGTCATTTCTCCAAGACCAACTACAGACTCTCATAAAACTGATGTTTTTATTGCACAACAGTCTTTTTAATAAATTCCAGCAAGCACTGAATATCAGTAAAAGAATTACCATTCACCAAAAATATCTACAACGAAATCTAGCGAATCGTTAGCATTGTTTAATACAATTTAGCAAGTACATCTCATTTACGACTGCAGAATTATTCATTCACCAATGTGACATAAGTCTTTAGAAAAGACAATCCGTAAGAAACCCACTTACCAAATACACGCCAACCAATGGGCAATTAAAGCGAATAATGCTGTTAATAGTACTAAAATAGAAGCACCATATTCCGAATATCGATCCAATTTACGTACGATACCCACTAAACGTAAAAGACGAGCTGATTTTAATAAACCTGTTAGAGCAGTAGGCTATGAAGTTCATGAAAAATGCAAAATTAATAAAAAGATATTCATTATAGTATCTTATTTGATAGAAATAAAATTGAAATACAATAAAACTTTAAAACATAATTATTGTATTAAAATATAATTAAGAGCTTTTGGTGGAGTTTTGTTCTCTGAGCTGGATGGTTTGGTCGTGGAGCTTTCATCGTTCTTCTGAACGACATCATCAGCACAAACTTCAGATAGAAAATCATCCACCTGAGCTACAAATCTTCTCCACCATCTCATAATTAAAAGCTAATCACTTATAGTAAAGGCCAATAAACACACCAAGATTGAAACCAGTCGGCTATTTGAATATCAAATAATCTAAAGATCTCAAATAGTTGACAACGACATTTTTTCAAAGTATAACTTACCAGATAGAGTTTTGTACTCAGGCTTGAGAAACACAGCGTATGAAGATGATGTAACGGGGTAAAAAAATTAAGTCTTAATTCATTGACAAGTGAGTGACTTACAAAACTGAGCCATTATGACATAGAACAGTGTGGTTAAGACAATTATCTTCTAGCCACTAAGTAGCATGTTTGAACCCAGTTCTTCCTAAATCGGGTTTAGGCAGACAAATAGTATTACTAGCCCATGTACTAAGAGTGTGGCTTATAACCGAGAATGAGAATATGTACTTGGTAAGTAAATTAATAAATAAACATGACACCTAATCAGGTTATTTTTTGCTAATAATTCGTCTATAGGCAGGTTGTTTTATCAGATCAAAAAGCCTGTTCTTCCAGACAGTTATCTTGTCTTTTATTTTGTTTGTAGTTTTCAAGCAATAATCTGATCTCATGTTTATTGATCACTCGGCCATATGGTATCATAGGATTTGCCAATCAGCTACCGTTTATTCATTCATCTTAATAATTCAAAGTTCGTTTACATATCAAATCCTCATCCACAAACAAAGGCCAAGTTATTCTACCTAACTGACTAAACTAAATTAGATGAAACGAGATTTAAAACTTAAGATCTATTAGCTGAAAACTGAGTACATTGACCACTAAATTATCAGTTCATAGCAATCTAGTTACACGAGCTTGAGATTTTCGCCAGAATAAAATGTCAACTGAAGTTCATTTATGCAGTAAGGCATAGAGACAACAAAGTATCAAATCAACCAATCAAACTAACAGATGCGAAAACAAAGGTATTAAAATGAATCGATTTGATATTTGTTTAGAAATTTCTAGAAGTTCACAGCTTAAGTCAACATGTAATGGTGAATAACATAGGAGTAGCTGGTGTTGTACTCTCTGAACTGAATGGTTTAATTCTGTAGCTTCTATCATCCTTCTGAACGTTGTAAGTAAATACTTCAAAGATAAATTAGCTATTAGAATCTCTCCACAACTGACCTGCAATTAAGTTGGCTGTTGCCTACAATTGTGCGTACAGAGAATACATCTCCAACATCCTCTAAAAGGTTACAAATATTTTACAATGTCGCACAAGACTAGGAGTTGACTGATGATTGTCTGTTGAATTTGATTATTTTGTAGTAATGCTAAGTTCTACATGGTAATTGTGATCAGTGACTTTAAATGACATGACTCAAAATCAGTGGAAGTATACGTCATTTTCTTTCCACTAAATCTCGAGTTTTATTACGATTATTTAATTATTTCTTTTAAAATTATATTCCAGATGTTCATTTTATCATTATTACTCATTCGACTGTCAGAAATACTGTATTTCATAAGTAATGGAGTATGGCTAGCAGTAGGAGTCAAGGTGGGTCCTATTTCGGACTGATCAGTTGGATACACCTGCATGTCAGAGCTAGTGTTTACCCGAACTCAATACATTTTTCCCCACACATTTGGGCGTTACATGCTATATCTTCATTTACTGTATTAATATAACGCAAGATACATCAAACTAATGCATAGTGATGGCATCATTCACACATATTTAAGACTGAGTAATCATTGAGGAATATGAAAACACGAAGACCAAGGAACACATTTTGTCGGGAACTGAAAGCAGACATGAAAAGGATCAGTAGAAATTGGAAAGGATTTCCTAGAACAGAGTTCGATGGAGAATGCTGGTGGGTGGTCTATGCTCCTCCACAAGAGATAGCAGGCGTGTGTAAGATAGAAATACAAGTAAATTGCTCCATTATCATTTTTATGTACAAGCATTAGTGTTGAGTCAATTAATCGAAGAAATTTACATTGTATTGTACATATAAAGACTTAGAAATATACATACAATACTAATCGCTTTATTCAAATATCACACATTTGATTACAATTGTTGTGTATACACCCTTATATGTCTTTATTATTGTTAAATACTTGAAAATGGGAAATGATTATGATCACTACAGTGTGAAGCAATAACATAGAAAACTGATAGAAATGAATATTTACTGACTTTGCCAAAATAAAAACATGTTACTCTGTTGTAACTAAGATTATGTTTTGGTACTTTAACAGGGAAATTTTGAATTGGACAACATGTGTAAGAATGCGAAAATGTTAGATGAGACAGTTTATTTGATACCCGAACTAAATATCTGAACACTGATTAATAGATAGATTTGTATACATTAATCTTAATATGTGACAATAATTAGCCAATCATTTAATGAATAAACAAAGATATTCAATACTATAAAATTAACCGCCTATGACCAATAGATATTATAGTGTATACTAATGATGCATACAGACATAAGTAGTATGTAGCAGCAATCGGAAGTAGAATGTTTACCAGGAAAAGAGTGAACTAGAAAGAAGAGGAAAGAAAATGAAAAGTATTCAGAATAACAACAGAATGAAGTATGTAAAGGACAACTAAAGAATGATATGCATACGATGTATTAATTATGTGATTATCATAATTTACAAAGGTATTGTTTGATTTTTGTATATAAAACAAAGTATATTGGTTTACTTCACCAGAGTCTTCATTTAGTACAGTAATAGTAGTAGTGTTACTACCATTTTGTTTACTACTTGTCTATCATATTCATACACATTTTTCATGTTCAACAGTGTAAATGAATCGTTATTGAAACAAAAAAGAAATAACCTTTCTATTGATGATGTTGTTGTTACTCACTTATTAACTATTTGATTTCTCATATTTTACACGAGATTTAGTTGTTCTTTTCGATGTGTTTGAGTGTTGTCAGATTATTTTGTTTATTTATGTTCATGTATGTGTGCATATACATATGTACGTGAATATCTCTGTTGTTGTTTATGATAATGATGATTTCTTTTGAGCGTTTGAAAAAGGTAAGTTAGTTCCTAAATGGAATATGTACACCTAAATGAATTGATCTTTCGAAACATATAGATATATGTTTGGGCGTTTTCTTTCTCATTTGAGAAAAAAAAAGAAACAAATGCTTGTTTGAGAAGAGAATTTAATGACTTCATTATACATTGTTTTTCATATTTATGATCGTTATGATTATCCCTCTTAGTAATATAGTGTCATCATTTACCAATGACATATATATACATCCATTAATGGGCATAAATATACACTAGTATAGATATCTACTCTTTGATTTCTACAAATATATCAATGTAAAAAGCAGTTTATTATAATAGGGCGAAGTAGTTAACAGTGTAATAGATTACAATATTGAGTATCATTAACGAAAAAGAACTAAATAAATTTCTTTAGAAATCATATAATACTATCAAAAATGGGTGGTTGCTAGCAGTGGAATTCAGGATGTGCATTCCATCCTATTTATGACTCGTCAGCTGGGATGTAGGTATATGAAACGCGCGTTCTGGATTTCATTGCTAGCCACCATCCATCCAATTTAATAAAACCTTGTGACTTAAGGCAATATCAGAACAATCCGCACAGGATACATACGTGCCAATAAGAGACTGATCAATGGCAGTCCTTAACGCCAGTGGGATATTTCAAACAAACAATACAAAATCAATATATATTCATATCACAAAAAAAAAAGAAAAAAAAAGAATTCAATAACGTTTAGAAGAATTCTCTGTATGTAAAAATATACTGATGGTTTGCTTAAAATTTTAGGCCATTTTTTTTTCCCGTTAAATGTGCATTTATTATTGGCAGAAATTCTCAGAATATATGACAATTTAAAGAGTTCATGTATTTTAAAACAAGTCAATGTTTAACATTCAACTACTTTGGTATCAAAAAGCGATTTAGACATTTCTGATCCCTTAATTATTATCATGTCTTCAAATACCCTGGTATGGTCGAAAGGCGGGAGAGTCCGCTCTCCCTCTCCAAATGCTCTCACATGCCAACGCGTATATAGCCTCTGCCAGGGATGTCCTACTCACTGCCTTCTCGTGTCGGTGTTGTTGTTTACGAAATTGAGAGGACGAAAAGCGAATGTCCGGCGCTTTAACCGGGTTGTTGGACATGGAGAGTTCACCTAGGGGAGTTAGAAAACCCTCATTCCAAACCAATGGTGCACATGGGCTCCAGTATCCTGATGGAATAAATGGCGTATGAACCAATCGTTTGTCACCGACTACCATGAGACTGCATCTCCTTATGATGCTCCATTGCCTTTTGGATCAGACCTTTAGGTCTAAGGCTCCGGGTGAGGCTCCCTAATAAAACCACCTGCTTCGGTTTGGGCACCCGGGCAGTATCCCAATCCTCAGATAAATCGAATAATTTATGTGGCGCATATCTGTTTGATGCCTCCTTGTACCAATGTTTATGTGTTTAAATAAATAAAAATAAATTGTTATCATAATTTAGTGAGTCTAAATCATATGTCTTTTTCCTTCTAAACACCTTAAATCTTTTGTTGTTGTACAATGTAGTAATGTTATCGACTTAAATATTCTAAAACTACCATCTTAAAGAATTAACTTTTAAAACAAGGAGGAAAATTCAGTCCAAACTTTACTGTTAGCTAAATTTGCATTCTATAAAGTTTAGTGTTAGATAATGTTCAACATTATATTAATAGTTGTATGATATTATGGATTGATTTAAGTTAGATATCAACACCGTTGAGTGCTAGTGAGAGGTCAGACGTTCACATGTGAGATCGTAAATGGTTCGAAGAAGTCGGCAAAAGATCCTAATACAGAATGTTAATCAAGATGCGAATAGCTCAGTGGTATAAAATCTCAGACTATGAAGCTGAGTGTCCTGAGTTTGAATCTAACAGACAGCATCTATTCCACCAGTATTACAATTATGCCTTGTTGATAAGTGTCAACAAGCAAGAAACAGGGTTTTCTTCTAACTACCTCCAATCAATTGAAATGTCGACATAATGCATGCAATATTGAGTCAGTCAAACCAATTAATGGATTGCTATTCGATTGATAGAATTCGATCAGGACTATAAGACTAGGTAACACTGACATTGGTCGCCACACAGTTACAGATTGATTTTATGAAATAATATTGAGATTTAAGCGTTGAAAAAGGATAAATATATGAGCAATTTCAAACAGTTATGAACTGTATAATCATCCAATATCTCACATTACCTACTGGTAACGATCATCCCGTGGAAATCCACATCAGGTAGTCTGTATTAAACATTACAGATAAGACAACGATGAATAAATTCACATACGAAGTAAACTTTTCAAATCTATCCAAAGATTTATTCAGCTACCAATACATGGGTGAGATTTCCATAACAACATCGTACATCTCGGCAACTAAGTATAAATGATCATGTAGTTCAATTTCAGACAAAGAAGCAAGCGAAATGAGTTCTATATCTGGATTTTAATGCTCAACAACTGAATATCTGAAGTGTTGCTAAAAGTCTAAACTGGAAATTCTATTTACTGTCTTTATTACCAATCTCATTTTAAATTTATCGACTGTGTTCATGATAACGTTTAGTTTATTGAGGATTGGTAGATACCATTTTAGCTGAATAATAAAAGATAAGCTTAAAATCTAAATTCTACATAGATAGGTTATTGAGTTCATCTCAACAATATTCATAACTAAGCACTATATTGAATGTAGTTCAACGGGAGTGGTAACATTTGGAAATGGAATTTTAATCTTATCATTTTGTTACACTTGATGTGTGTGTATGGCAGAGTGGGGTGGGAGTGGGGTGGGGGAAAGAAACGAAGTTGGCAGATTCTCTGCAAATAATTACTTATCCCAAATTATTTTAAGATCCAACTTATATGAACTTAAATTCTTTATTTGTTTTAAACTAAAAATTGCATACACTTCCTTTTTTCCTTTGCATACACTTCCATAAACCATTAAAATTAATTTCCTGACTTGGATTAATATTTTATATTTATTTCAGTTTATTCTCTATTAAAACAAACAAATTTAATTCTCTCTTTAATAGATTAAGTTAAATGAAGAATGATGATTAAGATGAAGTTCTGAGTTGGATTACGTAACTCATTTATCAAGTTTGGGTTTATGTAATTGATTAAATAGTTTATATGATAGTTAGTGAACTTATTTATTTTAACACATACATATTGGTACAAGTAGGCACCAAATACATATGCGACACACAAATCTCATTCGATATGTGTGAGGGCTGTGATACTGTCCGGGTTCCCAAACCGAAGCAGGTGGTTTTATTAGAAGGCCATATCCGGAGCCTTCGACCTGAAGGTCTGATCCAAAAGGCAATGGAGCATCATAAGGAGATGCAGTCTCATGGTAGTCGGTGACAAACGATTGGTTCATACGCCATTTATTCCATCAGGATACTGGAGCCCATGTGCACCATTGGTTTGGAATGAGGGTTTTCTAACTCCCCTAGGTGGACTCTCCATGTCCAACAACCCGGTTAAAGCGCCGGACATTCGCTTTTCGTCCTCTCAATTTCGTAAACAACAACACCAACACGAGAAGGCAGTGAGTAGGACATCCCTGGCAGAGGCTATATACGCGTTTGGAGAGGGAGAGCGGACTCTCCCCACTCTCGGTCGTATCAGGGCATTTGGGGACAGAATCGGGAGATAAATAGTACTAACTGCTTAAATCAAAGTAAGTAGACTTAGGTTCTGAGTCTGCAATCTAAGTTAGCGCTATAACAATGGGTTTGTTATTATGTTTAAAACTTAACCATGAAAGTTTGTTAACGCACAAAAACACACATAGAAAATGAAGTGTTCGAACAAAGCTGGAATAACAATTGAGGTAGAAGATTCCAAGAATTTTTTATATTTCGTAGTTTTGCATATTATATTGCCTCAATAGTTATTTTGACTTTATTCGAATTCGTAAATTTATTTATTTATTTATATGCTCCACGCAAACCATTCGGTTTGTCTGAGGGATGAGATACTGCCTGAGCGCCAAAGCAGAAGCAGATGGTTTTCCTAGGAGGCCATTCCCCAAGCTTTCCACCCAGAAATCTAATCCACAGGGTAGTTAGTGGAGTGACATTAGGAGATGCAGTCCCATGATAGCCGGTGATCAACAATAGGTTCACACACCTTTTGTTCCCTCAGAATCCTGGAGCTTATGTGCACCATCTGTTTGGAATCAGGGTTTTCTAACTCCCCTAGCTGGATCCTCCATTTACACAAACCCAGTTAGAGCGTCTAACATTCACTTTTCATCCTCTTAATTTCGTAAACAACGCCCATTCCGCAAGAAGGTAGTGAATGGTGATTCTCTGACAGTGCTGTATACGCGCCGGTATTTTGAAGGCATTTCGTGAGGGAAAGCTGAATCTCCCCATCCTCGGTCGTACCAGGGCATTTGAGGCGAAATGCATGAAATTAAACGTTCAACTTGAGTATTTTAATTATTTAACAAAGAAGTATCAATTTTCTACATTAACTCCTATTTGAAATCACTATCGACAGTTCCAAATAGTTGGTAGAGTTACACTAATAAATTATTACCTGTAACCATTATTCAACAGCCTTAACAATGAGATGGACAAAGCTTTAATTCATTAAAAAATAACATCCGATCATATTGATTTTGTGTTAATATTTTTGTATAACAGCATATTATTTCATGACATGATAAACCTCTTTTACTGGGTAAATGTCATATCTTCTAATATCAGTTTATTAAGGGGTTACTTTATAATAATCCGATCTCGAGAGTAATTATCACTCAGTCACATTGTATCATTAAAAACTTGCTATCGATTGTTATTTTACACATTCATTTTAACAATTCAAAATTCATTCAGTTATCAAGTTCTAAACTATAACAATGGCGATGGAATTATTCGACAAGTTTCCATCCGTGTGATATCCGATTCAAATCATCTTCTGATTAGGTTACAACATTTGATAATTTTATCTCTTAATTTATAGAAGAGTAGTTCATAATCACACCGTTTTAACAAAACAATAATATTCATGTCTTAATATACATAATTATATACCTAGTCGGTTAGTGATAGTTGGTTAGAAATAATCAACAATAAACTCTGGACAATCAACAGCCAGGTCTACCTGGGATCTTCAAGAGACTAATGCTCCTCGTCAGATTCGGATCCATATTACCTAGCCTTACAGTTAGAGATATTACCATTGATCTGGTTCGGCTACAACTGAAATTCTGTGGGACTGAGATACATTTATAATTACTTGATCATCGAGTAGTTATCAATGTCATTTTGACCTAATCTGTTAATGCTAACAGAATTCTATAGATCAAGTTGTAATGTGGCGCCTAATCTAAGGGATTAGTTTAGTGTTAATATATCTTTAGAAATCTATCAGTTTGAGATTCACTTTATCGCTGAACTTATTCTATTAATTTTTACCAAGTCAATTTAGCTACCACAACACACAAGTTGAAAAAAAAGAACAAATATGTAAATTATGCAGCAGAAGATGATCCACAGAAAAGTCAAGATCAATGTTAAGATCTAGTCAGTATCAGAATTAAAGACTAGGACGAATTAGTAAAAACGTACTAAAATAACATGATCACAATTAATAGTAAAGCAAAAAGGCGTGCACACACACATACAAATAATTTATTAATTTTTTTCCGCTGACTTACTTGATCTCCAGCTGTACGAAAAAATAACAAATCGAATGGGATCGCCGCTACCAGATCAATAATAAACCAGCCTTTAATATAATGAGCAGCTATACGTTTCGGATGTGAGACAACTTCATCATTTTTATTCACATAAGTTGTACGAAAATTAATTAAAATATCAATGATGAACATGACATCAACTAAGATGTCCACTGTAGATAATAATGTTGGTGACGATGAAGAGGTAGTGATTGATGGGTGGGCAGTATGAAGAATATCTGATGATTCAGAATGATTATTTGTTGAAGATTCATTCTGTGTACGATTTATATCAAAAGTGATCGCTGTCGGTGGTGTTGTTGTTGTTATGTTTCCTGACTTTAAAGTTAAAAAAATAACAAACGAGAGATAAGGTAAACTTTTAGAGAAAATGGTTGAATAACAATAATAACAATATGCACAAAATCTGGGGCTTCGTTCACACGATAATTGTTGTAAATAATTTCCATTAGTTGTTTGAATCTTCCCATTGATATTAAGCACTATAACAGACAAGTTAATGGGAAGAATCAAATGACCAATACAAGAATCAATTACACTTCACTTCATCGGAAAAGTCATTGGCGTTTGGAGCGAACGGTACGGCGTTCGACTCCCGGAGTGAACATCTAATCCAAAATGCAGATAAACCCAGTTGACTAATTTAAATAAAACGAAACACGCATCCTGAGTTCCACTACTAACCACCATCCATCTCTGCTAGTGATTGTTGCGTTATATATAGATGAAAAAAATGGGGATTGTTGAGAACTATTACTCTAAAGTGGATTACTTCATGTATATACATATATCGACCTAAAGGCAAGTTTTCAGTCAATTATTTATCTGAAGGGGTTTTATGGAGATTGTATTAACCTGGAAGCACTAGGACGAAACGGTCGTCCAGTGCTTCCAGGTTTTCCATGGTGATATAGCTTCAATTGACTCATGATCTCAACTGTTGAAATTATTTATCTGTTGATAGATTTTCTACTGCTTATAAACTACGGTTAATTAATTATGAACCCATTGTAGTGAACGAAAACTCAGATGAGAAAAACCAATTTATTGTTAAGTGAAAAATCATATATTAAATACATTATTCGAACATCTTCAATCCGTTGTCTTGTATGTGTCGTATTGTTCTTTTTATTTTATTATAATTGCTCTCTATATCCTAAAATGGTCTCTTCAATTCAATCCTCTACTGGCAGGCATTCCACTTCCGATAGCTGTTAGAAACTACTCATATCAGTCACCATAAGTAGCATGCACCACATTATTACTTAGTCTTGTGACATAAATGACTTCATTTATAATATGTTGTGATGTTTTCTACTTGATGTATATTACTATATGAGTTTTTGAATCAGAAAATAATACAATAGTAAAGATTAAATCTGATGGCTTTTCTCATGTTTTCATTAGTCAGATTTGGAGCAGAAAGAAACTGTATAAACCATTTAGTGTCAGCATACTTAGTTGCTATATTAATATGTTTCTTTTATCATAAACGGATTTATCAATAATGGACTCAATAAGTTAATGGTTCTCTTAAATGGGCATTTCGAAATTGAAGTCATAATAACTAGAATCAATGGTTGATGTTACAAGGCATAATTAGTTCTTGTTATTATTACTATTATTATGATTACTATTCCGATTAATTTGCTGTTCACATTATTGCTGTTATGATGTAACAACTTGAGACTGATACACATCTGTGTCAGAGATCCTACGCAAATTACAACTAACTAATCTGACAATGTTACATTTACTAAACTAGATAGTTTAAATTGAGAAATCTTTATCATGGTTCTAAATAAAACTAAAAATTAGTACATACATCAAATGAAAATCATTTAGTACAGATGATAAAAGTTTAGAAATGAAACAACTTAGCTCGCTAAGAATTCAACACCCACACACACAAGAAAACAAACAAATATATTCTCATTGAAGCGACAAATGAGCTTTTATTCTATTAATATCAGTGTAGACTGATTGATAAAACTAATTAAACACTAAAGATTAGGGACGATATAGCACTCGTTACTATCCAATGATTACGTAGTCCGCCAGTCAATAACAACGTAGAACTTCGTACGTACGCACATCAGTTTAAGTTGCCATACCACAATAGCACACAGATACAATTGTCGATTCAAATCCCATAGTGGTAGAGGTAGTAAAAGTATAAGCAGTAATCGAAAAGATTAGGGTTTGAAGATGTTATTCAAGAAGTATAATCCAATGAAATAAATTTGGACAGAGAATAAATAGGGGCATGAAGAATTCAGAAGACTAGGATTTGGGAAAACACAAAAAGTAGATGCACCTGCGCGATCGCAAACGATTTTGAGCCATGTCATTCAGGGTCTCTAACCATTGGTTGTTATCGTCTTGCAGATCCCAACCAGGTAATCTACACCTACCAATATGGCTCAGTCCACTTGTCAGTGACTTCATGGAATGATTACACATATAACGTATGATTTTATGTCTTATTCTAAAAATTCATTTCAACTTTATTTACTTCTCAAATCGTTGTATATTCATTGTAATTTTAAAACAATTTTATTATTGCTAACTAATGAGAAATTTTTTAATAGAATGATACATTATTCTCTCTCTTATTTCAATTTGTCCAAAATTAGATTTTGTGAAATTATCACTTCTAATCTAAAGAAGAAGAAGAAGAGAGAAAAAACATACTTTTCCATAGTGTACCCAACGACAAACATTATTTCATTTGCTTTAATCACGCCTACACTACCACTACATTACACACAAACACATACACACAAATACAAATACACTTTGATGTTGGTCTTATGTTATACTGAGAATTCCTAATTAGTTAAAACATATGATCTTATTTTTCGCCTTATTAACTTACATACTTTAAAGAAAAAAAAAGGAATAACTGAATACTGAACAATGTCATCTTGTTTTATCGGATGATATTTTGAAAGTTCCTATTTTGCCTCTATGTGTATGTTTTCTTTTCTTTTTTTGTTGAAAAATAACAAGTGAAGAAAGAAATTACACATTGTACAAATTGTTGAACACAAGAAACTATTGAAAGTGTTGCCTGTTATCATATAATTAGTATCATGAATAATTAAGAAAAATAATAACTGATCAATACAATGATACATATTACATCATACATGATTACATAATAACTTTCTATATTGTTACGTGTGACTGAACATGCACAGTAACTATATAGCACCCAAACGCCCTGGTATGATCGAGAGCGGGGTGGGTTCGCCCTTCCTCTCGAAATACTCTCATACGGCCACGCGTATACAGCCTCTGTCAGGGAAGTCCTACTCACTGCCTTCTCGTGGCGGGGGTGTTGTTTACGAAAATGAGAGGACGAAAAGCGAATGTCCAGCGCTTGAACCGGATTCCAAACCAATGGTGCACATGGGCTCCAGTATCCTGAAGGAACAAATGGCGTATGAACCAATTTTCGGTCACCGGCTACCATGGGACTGCATCTCCTTACGATGCTCCACTGCCTTGTGGGTTAGACCTTTAGGTCAAAGGCTCGGGGTGTGGCCCCCTAAGAGAACCACCTGCTTCGGTCTGGGCACCCGGGCAGTAACGCAGCCCACACGCAATTAATGAACTGAAATTGTGTGGCGCATATATGTTTGGCGCACTCCTGTACCAATATATATGTGTTCAAATAATAAAATAATAAATATATATATATATATATATATATATATATATATATATATATATATATATATATTAGGAATACAGTGTGATATGGATGAATTGTGGCTAGTAACCTTTTGTTCAACTCAGAACTAATAGGTTTATGATGTGACTTTCTATCCGTGTTGATTTTGACAATAATGGGGATTCGAACCCAATACTTTTCATTTGAGACGCCACTGCGTTATCCTCTAAGATATTACTAGTGAGTATAGAAAAACACTAATTTGTTCTATGGGATAATTCAAACACTTAATAATCATGATACAAGAGTGATGGTTGCCGAAAAGTTAGTAAACATTTAATTTATGATAAGACGTGACTACTATTCAGTAGCATTGATGGAATACTGTTTAACGCTTGATATCGATGATGTAACTCACTCATTAAAATCGGTTTTGAGCTGCACTTTTCTGTGTGATGGGTAGTGATACCACCCAGATGCTAAAAAAAACTGAGTCCAATACCTGAATTTTCAACAAAATAGTTGAAAACAAACTATTTCAAATCGGTAAAGTCATCATTGAAGACAATTATGGTTAGGAATTTCACTATTAAAACTTCTTATTAGTAACTTTGAATTCTGATTTCTTCCCAATGATTAGAAAGAATACATAGTTAATGACTGCGTTTCGATCCATAGATCTTCTAGTTTCCAACTAAGGAGGATTCGGATCATTTAAGTTTAAAATGAATATTTAATCGCTTTATGAACAAATAATATTGGTTTAGTTGGAAAGATTTTGAAATACTACCACAGAACTCCAATCCAGTAGTTTTAATGCTTGAGTGCTCACTACGAGGTCGAAAGATCTTGAGTTCGACCCTCAGCGTGGTCGTGGGCGCCTACCTTTAAGGAATCCCAACACAACTGTGCAGTGCTCTTCAGTTCTTAATGGTGCTCCAACCGAAGTCCATTTGTGATGAATACAACCTATAAGTTATTGATTCTATTATTCCGTTTTTTACACAATAATTTAATCGTTAAATAATCCGACCTACCAACTAATAGGTAATGAGTTCAAAACACTACACTGTCTGTATAAGAGTTTCGGAGGTAATTAGTTAGTGTTGATCAAAAGCTGGACATAAAAAAGTACACTACATCAAACAACCTTCTTTCAGTCTGGTTTTGTTAATCTACGCAACATGTAAGTTATTCAATTCTGACTCATTATTGAACATTTCAATTAGTACAATGATTCGATGAATATTAGTATTGTAATAAAAATAGGGTTAAAGCTGGTGGATTGGACAACAGAACAGAAAGATTTAGACATCATTTTCATACTTCTTGACATTTCCTAGCAAAGAATCTTTGTATACACATACGAATTACAGTTTTTCTTTGGATTTCATGAATTGTATCATCAAGCATAGTAAACGATAATACCATTATTCGCAAATCCCAGACGGAAAATTATTCATTTAAAGCGTCCCATTTACGTGCGAGTGATGTGTTTAAGATATTTATGGTCAAATGTATAGAGTTTTATTTCATTTGTCTCAATGATTATGTTTTATACTGATGCTAGGATAAAATACTAAGCATTCAATGCTTTGAACACTACTATTTATTTCAACACATAAAAATCGGTACAAGGAGGCACCAAAATATGAATGCGGCACACAATAAATCATTAAATTTATGTGTAGTCTAGGATACTACCAGAGTGCCCAAATCGAAGCAGGTGGTTTTCTTAGGGACCGATTCCCCGAGCCTTTTAGCCAAAGGTCTAATCCACAAGGTAACGGAGTAGCTTTAAGAGATGAAGTCCCATGGTAGTCGGTGAGCAAGAATGGGTTCATACATCATCTGCCACGAGAAGGCAGTGAACAGAACTTTCCTGTAAGTGGCTATATACACGTAGCCATATGGCAACATTTCGAGAGGGACAACGGACTCTCCCCACCCTTAGCCGTACTAAGGCATTTGGAGTCACTTAAAATGATTTTCTTGGCAGTGATCAACCTCTAACAATCAAGTATTAATCCAGTTTAAAACCTTACTTTTTTATATGATTGCTAGTGATAACGAATCAAGTGGAGTAGAATCTAAACTTGCATGCTAATGGTTATATATAACTGCTTAATAAATACAAATGTCATTAGTTCTTGATAATTTATCAATTATATAAAACCCATGTGTGTGTGAGAGAGAACGAGTATGTCTATAAGTCTGTGAAAGGAATATAAGAGCAAAAAAGACGCATCTGTGTAAAATGGCCTTAGTATAATCACAGCTGTTTTATTAATGCCTCCTAGCAAGCATTAAACATAACAAAATTAGGCACATTTTATTAGTACTATCATTCATAATAATAATAATAATAATAATAATAATAATAATAATAATAATAATAATAATAATAATAATAATAATAATAATAATAGTAACGATATAATTGCCGTGCACGAACTAACACTATCAATTCATATTAAATAGAACCCATTCAAGGAGGAAAGAGGATAAGACGGTAAATAAAAACTATGCATTATAACCTATTTTAATAATAGCAAAACAGCGATAGATAGATAGATAATAAATTAAAGTAGGCTGAAATATAGCTTCTAATATTAGGAACAAGGATAATACTACTTATATAAGCGTAATAAGAAGTGCGAAACACACAATATTAAACGAACAGCGATCGATAGCAACAGGTAGATGCATATGTGCATACACATCAATGTACATACATGCGCGTATGCATACTTCAGTCCTATAATGTTGTCTAACATATTGCACCAAATGTAGGACTTATACATGTTCTTTTATAGACAGAATTATGAAACCAAAGGAATACTCAGTCAGTATTGAATGATCGACTATATAATTTCAGTGATAAAGACCACAAGGGAATATATATATATAAAGCCTCTACGAACAAGGCAAACACCTAAGAATACTGAGTATTCTACAGAAAATAATACCAATGAAACTATAAGATGATGTTATTCGAGACATGTTATAAGAATTGACCTTGACGACCATAATTTAGGCATCGAGAAAGTACATTTTAATGTATTCGATTAATAATAATTGGTAAGTTTCAAAGAACTCGATCCCTTGATAAACATATACAGGGAGAGAGAACAACAAAGTTTGCAGAATAAAATGAATTCATCAGCTTCATACAACTTGAAATAACAATTATTAATATAAATATCATTGTTAACAATTGTTTAAAATACCTTAGTTTGTGGAGTTTAGATAAATATTCAGAAACGTAACCAAAACCTTAATAATAAGAATAGGGATACAAACTGTATTTATTCATTTATTCGAACACATAAATATTGGTGCAATGAGGCACCAAATATATATGCTCCATACTTTATCATTCGATTTGTGTGCGGGCTCGAATACCACCGAAGCGGGTGTTTTTCTTAGAAGGCCACACCAGGAGGCTTTGACCTAGAAGTTTAATCCACAAGGCAGTGGATCAACGTAAGAAGATGCAGTCCCATGATAGCCAGTGACCAACAATAGGTTCATACGCCATTTGTTTCCACAGGATTTCGGAGCCCATATGCACCATTAATTTGGGATCAGGGTTTTCTAACTCCCCTAGTTGGATCCTCAATATCCACTAACCCGGTTAAAGCATTGGATATTCTCTTTTCATCCTCTAAACATCATAAACAACACCCCTTCGCGAGAGGTTAATAAGTAGGACTTCCCTGATAGTGCCTACATGCGCGTTGGCATCTGAGGGTACGAGTCCCAAATGGGACGAAACGCTCGTCCTGGATTGCACTGCTAGTCATTATCCATCCTTCCTACTAGACCTAGTTCGATTTAAATATCCGGATAGAATTATGATGTATGCTACTTATGTTGATAGACACAAATAGTATGTAACACCAATCAGAAATGGAATGCGTGTCAGCAGAATATTGAGAAGATTCAATTGAAGAGAACAGAAAGAGAAACAGAGAGTAGTCGTAATAACAGTAGAATTGAAAGAATTATGAAGTATGTAAATGACAACTAATGAAAGATATGCAAATGATGTATTTAATGTATGGTTTTCATATTCTACGAAAGCACTAAACAATAAATTTGTCTTCTCCAGCTAGATTCTCATTCACTACAGTATCATTGGCCTTAAAATTCGAATAGTGTAACTTATAGCCAAATACATAAAACCGTACTTGGTTTAATTAATCATTTAACAAACTTGTGAAAAAAAAGGTGGTTAGCACTAAATTGAGATATTCATTTTAATTAATATCTTGAATAAATTCTTAACTTGAAAACCAAGGAGAAAGGGGAAGACAGAGAGAGAGGGGGGGAGGGGGAAAGAGTATAAAACTTTTTTAAAACTTTACCAAGAAAAACTTACTGAAATTAATTTTGCATATTTATTTCCTGTATTCATGAGAAAAACAGTTACATATGGAGTAAAAATAGCTGTATAGATAATAAGTGCTAATATAATCCAATCCCAAACAGCTTTAAAAACACTATAATGTTTCAATGTAAATTTATGCATACGTGGAGATTGAAAACGATGCTCAACATGTAAATCTTCATCCATAGATAGAAACTAAAATAAACAACAACAAGAAAAAGAACAGAAAGAAGACAATAAGTAGATTTACACATAAAACAATCATTAATGTCAAAGAAAAAAAAATATTATTATTCAAATGAAAGTTGAATTCGACCATATCAGTATTGGTTCATTGTGTAATATCTGTTTCAGTAAAATTAAATTTGATTGATAAAGTATCAGAAGGGGTTTTGTGGAGATTGTATTGAATCCAACAGCTGAGATCATGAGTCAATTGAAGCTAGATCACCATGGAAAACCTGGAAGCACTGAACGGCTAATTCGTCCTATTGTGGGACGCCTCAGCAGTGCACATCCACGACCTCGCCCCCTGAGAGATCCGAACCCAGGACCTGTCAGTCTCGCGTGCGAGCGCTTAACCACTAGACCACTGAGCCAGCATCCAACGGTGTTAATGTCTAACTTCAACTAATCCACGAAATTGAGTGACACATCCACCATTGTCTTCAGTGAGTTACTATCTCACAACAGACCTGGTTGAACTACACTGGTCATTACTTTTCACTAGAACTCCAGGATATACCTCGTGAAGCTAGTCACTAGTGACCATGTGTTCATTAGTATCAGAAGGGGTTTTGTGGAAATTGTATTAATTCATAAAGGTTTCGGTAAAGTAGGGTTCTTCGACTTGGATGTGATAATTTAGTTAGATTTAATTTATTATTTGTTTAGATGTATAAATATTAGTAAACAGAGGCATCATATTATATGAGACACACAATAAGAAAATAAGATTATGAAGTCCTATATCTTGTGACCGCCGATTAGAGGGCAGTGACTTATCGATCGGACCAATGATGCATAAAATACGTACGAGCAGTCTACAGTACTTATCAGTCCTGCTTTCCATCTAGCCTAGCCAGTTAAGTCCACAACACCAATCTCAGCCTCTGCTATATGAATCATTATATTGCAAACATACTCGGTTTATATACCAACCAGACAGACCACAACGTACCATAAAATAGGAAACAACATTTGTACAAGAATTAGCCAGATGTGGCTGTGAATGAGAGAGGCAGTGACTAATAGACAGGGAATAATTCAAGAATGGAAAATCATATAATAATAGTTAATAGGTTAAAATAAAGCTTATGATAAGAGAGACATGAATATGAATAGTTTAGTTAATTAACAATTACATGTTAAAAATATACGTATAGTATTGGTCCACAAATGGATCCCAAAAATTACCACTCATTATTCTTATCGGGGCATAACATGAAGATACAGAGGAATTTTAATAAATGAATACAGATATGTGGATGAGTTTTTTTCTTGAAGTGGGAGAAGCAGTTTCATTAGGAAAAAATACAACTAGAAAGAATAGTTTTATATACAGAAGTTCCTCTCACTTTTGAAAGAAACTAAAACAAATTACAATATAGCTGCTATCTGTTTTTATTCTAAGCGATGTCTGATAACATCTTAAGTTTTTGATTTATACTATTTCTAGGATCCCAATCAGGAAGTCATGAAGGACCGACAAATATCAGTTCTTTACAGCTTTCTTTAATAACCCGGTGCCAAGTTATGAACTAACCATCTCTCCACTTTTTACTGCTAGTCTAAGAGTCGATAAATAAGGGCCGATTTGACAGTCTCCGGAACAATGAAATAATGGTCACTATGATCAAACACACGTCACCGAACCCTTGCATTACTAACATGGTGTTATTACTTAATGGTACTGGGCAGAGATGGTGATTAACTTGATGATGCAGTGAATTTTTATCGACCTGGGAGGCTACAGCATGTGTTGCGTATCCCCAAACACTGGTGATCTTGACGAATAATATTAGTTGGAACAGAACTGGAGACAGGTAAATCAAGACATATGCACAATTTTTGAAATTACTGACTACGGAAATAAGTCAATATTAATAGGTACAGATCACCTGATCAAGGGAACTTGGCAACATGACTTAGATTCAATCTTCATATTGCGACCGCATTTACTTTTTATCTTCCTCATAGCCTGAAGATTCAATTATATTACACACGTTTAATTCCTCGAATTTATGCCTCCATTTTGTATGATATTCTTCAGTGTTTACTCTTTTATACTAGTACTAATAACTACTATTGTTCCAACTGTCTTGTTAATTTAATCTTTTTGTGTTGAAATTGGTATGACAACTTGGGTTAATACACATTTGTATTAGGCTTTATGTTGATTATGATTAGCTAAATGTTTTAAAATTCATTCAGATGAAATTTTGAAACAGTTCCAATGAGTAAAATCATCAGTTCAACTAGATAAGTTATCATTTTAGTCAATTTTTATAAAAGCAATATGACGACTGTCATGAGACATATAAACAAGTATGTTTAAAAAAACAAAAACCACCATATTTCCCATAACTTATTCCCATTATGATTGAGATCATGAATCGATCAATGTTAGATCACCATTAAAAACCTGGAAGTACTGGATGGACATTTCATCCTAGTATGGAACTTCTCAGCCATTAATTAGTATTGATCTGACCTATTGATGTATCCCTCATTTTAAGCCTATAAATGAATACGAGAAGTCAGACTAAATTCTTTTTCAAAAGGGTAAGATGATACAGTAAGACTAACCATACATCAGACAAATGATAAGCTCATGCAATCGGTCATGATTTGGGTTGATTTTCTAGGGATTAGGACACCCTGTTGAAGGGAAACTGAAGCTTAAATTTCTAGGAGTCATATATATATAAGCGCGGTGATTATTTGATTCGGTTGGTCAATAAAATGCTTCCTTCTCATTCAATAACTAGTTTGAGGGCACGTACAAGAAGTTTATGTATCCGTATTACAATTGAACACATATATCAATGCTGAATAAAAGTGTGATAAACTCTTTTGTGCATTGATTAACTGTAATAGTGTTTCTCAACATCATACAAAAAAACAACTATGTATTATTTTTATTTTCACCAATTTATTGATTAGCTTGTCTGCTTACGTAATCGTTTGTTGTTATTCGAATTTTTTATAAATTTTACCTTTATTTTGTTTACCTACAAAATGTACTTCTTTTATGTTTACTTCTCAATTTTGTTTTTTCCCCCTTTTACTTATCATTTTAACGATGGTTAGTTTATGTTACACGCACAAACACGCACACACACACACACATACATAAACACATACACACTGGTTATAATCTAAATTTATCAACTATAAATTAGATGAAGAAATTTACGATTAAAACAGACATTAAGTACTTCCAGGTATTCAATGGTGGTCTAGCTTAGATTAACTTGTGATTTTAACAGTAATATATATATATATATATGTTTTTATTATCGTTTTTGACTTGTTTAGTGGAAAAGAGAAAATTCAGTTTTATATAGAATGATTATAAATATGTAACATATTTAATAAGGAAAGACAGATGGTATGAGTAAATTATTATTTATTTCAATGGTTAAGATCATGAGTCAGTTGAAGCTAGATCACCATGGAAAACCTGGGAGCACTGAACGGCCGTTACATCCGACTGTGGGACTCCAGGGCAGTGCACATCCACGACCTCACCCCCTGCGAGATTCGAACCCAGGACCTGTCAGTCTCGCGTGCGAGCGCTTAACCATAAGACCACTGAGCCGGCATCAAACAGTGTTAATGTCTAACGTCGACTAATCCACGGAATGATCTTAACCATTGAAATTACTATAATATCCACAGAACCCATCTGATATTGATCAACATATGATCACTAGTGACTGGCTTCACGAGGTATATCCTGGAGTTCTAGTGAAAAGTAATGACCAGTGGAGTTCAACCAGGTCTGTTGTGAGATAGTAACCCACTGAAGACAATGGTGGATGTGTCGCTCAATTTCGTGGATTAGTTGAAGTTAGACAATAACACCGTTGGATGCTGGCTCAGTGGTCTAGTGGTTAAGCGCTCGCACGCGAGACTGACAGGTCCTGGGTTCGGATCTCGCAGGGGGCGAGGTCGTGGATGTGCACTGCTGAGGAGTCCCACAATAGGACGAAACAGCCGTTCAGTGCTTCCAGGTTTTCCATGGTGATCTAGCTTCAAATGACTTACGATCTCAACCATTGAAATTACTATAATATTCACAAAACCCATCTGATATTATTTATTTTATTTGAACACATAAATATTGGTACAAGAGAGCACCAAGTATATATACGCCACACAAGTAAATAAAACTAGATAATTTTTGAAAACAGTACCATATTGTTAAAGTTGGTTCGATGGGTTTTTTTTGGTTAATGTTGAAATCCATGATTATGTAGGATGAATAACAAATCAAAAGTTAATGAAAGAAATTCATAATTGATTGATCATTGGGTGGTGATCAATGTCATGTGTGTCAAATCCTTCTTAGTCCAATCCGAATGCTATCAACAAAGTTGCAATGTGGAAACTAGTCTAGGTGACTCAACATTGCGTGCATTATGTTGAGATTAGATGGTGGTTGGAGGTAGTCAAGAGGAAACCCTTGATCCGGGTTTTCTTCTATTTGACACTCGTCAGCAAGGTGTACCTGAAATCTTAAGGGAACTGGTGCTCCTTGATGGATTCGATCCCGTGTCACCCAGCTTCGCAGTCAGAAACTTTACCACTGAGGTATCCGGGCAGCGACCGACCGATGTAATCACAAACTCATTATATAATTGATGTATAGATTATAGATAATTCAAAGAAAATCTACATTTTCGACAATATTGTTTATCAATAATCATAAAATTGTATTTATAATGACACAAAACTAATAATCGAAACAGAGATGGGTAGTGATTAGTAGTGGAATCCAGCACTTGTCAACTGGATGTGCATAAATCACAGAATTGATGTTCACTCTATCTATCTCTACTTATAATTCTTATGACTTATTAAAGCAATATCGAGACAATCCTCACAGGATGCACACATGCTAATAAGCGAATGATCAATTGCAGTGCTAAACATCAATTGAAAGATTCAAACAACCAATACAAAGATGA